TCACCAAGCCTCATCAATCAAACCACAAGAATCAAGATTTTCAGCCAAGCAGTGGTGGTGATCACCTTTAATCCCAGCACTGTGGAGGCACAGGCAGGTGGATCTCAGTGAGTTTGAGGCCAGCCTGGTCTACAGAGCTCCAGGACAGCTGGAGCTGTTACACAGAGAAATCCCATCTCAAAACAAAAAACAAAGACAAGAAAAAAAAAAAAAAAAAAAAAAAAAAAAAAAGAAATCAAGATTTTTCAAGCCAGGTAATTATATGGCTCAAAGGCAGAAGTAGGAGATTAGGTTGCACATTCTAAGAACGAACAGTTAAAACAAAAAACTGGGTTAAAGCTGAATGGTGGTGGCACACACCTTTAATCTCAGCACTTGGGATGCAAAGGCAGGATCTCTATGAATTCCAGGACAGGCTCCAAAGCTAGAGAGAAACCCTGTCTCAACCTACCCCGACCCCCCACCAAAAAAAAGCTGGGCTACACATCTAAATAATGCACAGAATGAGAAAGGGAGAAGGGAAACAATTCTAATTTTCATTCCCAGCTATTCACCAAGAGGTTCTGGGGGTTGGAGAGATGGCTTCACAGTTAAGAGCACTGACTGCACTTTCAGAGGTCCTAAGTTCAATTCCCAGCAACTGCATGGTGGCTCACAACCATCTGTAATGGAATCTGATGCCCTCTTCTGTCATACAGGAATACATGCAAATAGGGTACTCACATACCTAAAATACATAAATATATCTTTAAAAGAGATTCTGATGTGGATTTTATTTATTTTACATATCTGAGAAACTCTAAAAGAGAGCATTTTATGAGTGCTTGGGGTTTTTAAAAACAGATTTACTTTAGTTTGGCTTTTGAGATAGGGTCTCACTGTGTGGTCCTGATTAGCCTAGAATCTTGCTTTGTAGGTCGGAATGGCCTTGAACGGTGACCAATCTGCCTCTACCACCCAAGTTCTAGGATTGAAGACATGCACCACCACACCCAGCCCAAGATTCATTCTGAATTGTGTGTATGTGCGCTACTGTGTGGAGGTTTATAGCGAATAATCGAGGCTATATAGGGAAAAACATGGGGTTCACTCCTACAGAGGTTCACTCCTACAGAGGTGTGCAAATGAGGGAAGACACTCATGGAGGAGACAAGAGTCTATCAGGTTCTCTGGAATTAAGAGTTATAGGTGGTTATCAGCCATCTAACCTTGGTACTAGAAAGTGAACTTGAGGCTTTGGAAAGCACAGTATAGACCCTTAACCATGAGCCATCTCTCCAGTCCTAGCGTAGGCTTTTGAACATTGGTTATGCAGGAACCCCTACTTAACTTGGAGCCTAAAGCATGAGTTAAGTTACTCTACTTCCAAGGTAGGCATCCAAGCCTGAGTTAAAAAAGAAATGGAACATTATTTACTAGGGTCATTTGAAGAGATCAGGTTGGTCCTATAGCTGGAAGAAAAACCGAAGTGTCACTTACTCTAACCAGAACCCTGTTCCAAGGAAGAACAAATCAAAATAAAAGATAATTTTTGTTTGGGAAAAGAGGAAGGGGGGATGACAGGTGAATATTACTTTTCTATATTTTTAAAACTCTTCAGTTATGAAAAATACAATCATTTTGATATTAACAGATTGCTTTGCTCTCTACTATGCAAAGCCACGCCTACTCATTTGCATGAAAGATAATCTTACAACAGTTCTCACATTAATAACCTTTCATTGACTTACCAGATTGGACACTCTAGGAGTTTCTGCATAGCATGAAGGACATTTTGTACTTCTTCGATTTGAACAGCAGATAAATCCATTTCTTCCAGGTATGGTGAACTTAAACGAAAATTTAAAACAACATGTAATTAAACAACTTTAAAAGGCTTTTATATATAGTTGCTTACATGCCATTTTTTTTCTTTTCTTTTTTTCTTTTTTCTTTTTTTTGATTTTTCTAGACAGGGTTTCTCTGTGGCTTTGTAGCCTGTCCTGGAACTAGCTCTTGTGGACCAGGCTGGTCTCACACTCATAGAGATCCTCCTGTCTCCGCCTCCCAAGTGCTTGGATTAAAGGTGTATACTACTGGTTGGCCTTCTTCTTTTTTTAAAGATGTATTTGTTTATTATGTAGATGGTGTTATACCTGCAGGTCATGTGGTACTGGGAACTGAACTCAGGACCTGTGGAAGAGCAGCCCGTGCTCTTAGCCTCTGAGCCGTCTCTCCAGCTCCTTCTTTTCTTTTTTGAGGTAAGATCCCATATAGCCCACAGACTTTGTGCTTTCATGTACTCAAGGCTATTCTTACCCCTGATCCTTCCGCCTTCATCCCCTTACTGCTGGAATTACTAGGGTAAGTCATCCCCATCCACCCTCTTGGGGGGAGTTCTCACTCTGTTGCCCCCACAAGCCTGGAAATCACTATGCAGCTCATATTAGCCTCCAACTTGTAGCAATCCTTCTGCTCCAGCCTGATGAGTGCTGAGCTACCTCACCTCACTTGTCATTCTAAAAAAGAGAATTTAAGTTTGCTTTAGAATTCTACCAACCATAGAGCTGATGAAAAACATCTTCATAAGAAAACAAACAAAATAAGCCACCTCAGGGTCTGGGGAGATGGCTCAGTGATTACTAGGATGTGCCTATCCTTCAGAGGATCAGAGTTCAATTTCCAGTATCTGTGCCAGGTGTCTGGGCCTCTATATCCAGGCCAGAACCGCTGAACACATACACACATAATTTAAAAAATGAATCTTTAAATAAAAACAAGTTCTAGTAGTTGCTCTTTGTAGTTAGCAGTCTAAATTCTTGATTCTTTGGTATTTAGCCTCTAAAGCATTCCTTTGGTCCTTCCTTTCTCCAAGGAAAGGAAAGCTGCAGTGGAGTTACTGGAGAGAAGTGGTGGCTAACAGCTTTCTCCAGAGTCCCGGTTTTCTTTTTCTTGCTTAGAATCAAAGCCAAGTAGGGCACAGTGTCGACATACCTATAGTCCCAGGAAATGGAGAAGCTGAAGGAGAAGGGTGACTTGATCTCAAAAGTTCAGCAGTCTTCCTGAGCTAGACAGGAAGACCAAAATCAGTCAGGTATGGTGGTGCAATACTGTACTTCCAACACTCTGGAGGTGCAGGCAAGGTCACCTTGAGCTACATAAGGAGCTCAAGGCCACCCCACGTACAGAAGTCCCGGTCCTCAAAAAGTCCCAAACTAATGGGCATAGTAGAGGAGGCCTCTAACCCCTTCTCCTCGGAGGCAGGGGCAGGTGGATGAGTTCGAGGCATGCCTGCTCTACATAAGGAGTCTCAAGTCAGCCAGAGCTACATAATGAGACTGTTTCAGACACTAAACAAACAAAAACTAAAACCAGAGAAACCCTATCTCGAAAAACCAAAAAATAAAAATAAAACCAAAACAAAGAGAAACGCACTTTTTATTTTAAGTCGCCAAAAACAAACAATAAAACTGCTGACGCTCCTCCCCTCTCCTCTTCTCCCCCTGTTACGGCACTTAGCCTCAAGGTACTCTTTAAAGAATCCCCCCCCCGCCCGCGACAGCATTCATTACTATTGGCGTTCCTTTATGCACTTCGCTTCTAGCACCTTCTGTGAAATAGACGTGGATTTCCCTGCCCCCCTCTGCCCTCCTTTCCTCTCATCCTTCAGCCATCATCCTTGCACTGCCCCCAAGGCACGACTACAGCCCGGACGCCCCCTCCCATGCCTTGCCTTCTTCCTCACAGCCGTCCCCGCGAAGGCACCAACTGCACCCCTCCTAGGAGTCCTTTCAGTTTCCTCCACAACGCCCTGGACTCCGGTTCCGTCCCAGGCATTCTCCTACTCGGTAAACACCCGGCTCCACCGGCAGTTTCCCGTCCTTCACACGAGCATCGCTAGGTACCCTCTCTGTTCCTCACGGCTGCCTCTCACCTTTACACCGAGCAAAACGTCCGTACTCCCGAGCCCCTTGGCCCAAATCCCGGAGAAGCCTCTAGAAAAGCGCTAGGTCCAACCGCGGCACCAGCGGCCGCCGCGCAGCCGCAATTACAATTTATCTGTAATTCCCGCGCTCTGTGTCGCCAAGGAAACCGGTCGCTTGGCGGCTGAGCGCTGGCCTCTAGGAACACAAGATCCAGACACGTCAGCGGAAGGGAGAGGGGAAAAAAAGAGGTGGACACCCTTTCCGGGTTCGGGATTGGCCAGCTCGTCTTTCCTTGTATGTCGTAACTAGAAAGAGACGGAAGAGAAAGAATTTTGAGTTTCCTCTTAGGCAGCCGCCCCTTCGCATCTACGCTTGCTTATTACGTCACAGTAATTCCGTACAAAGGGTCGGAATCGCTACCCGAGGCCGGAAGATGAGCGCAAGGTAGTGACCAAAGTAGCTGCAGGACGAGGCCTCATCCCTCCCTGAGTCTTCCTGCCATGGAAGTCTCCAGTTTAGGTAAAAAAAGGATTGTGTAAAAAGAACTACCAATTCCAGCATGCATTGCGGGACGAAAGGACTTCACAGCGTCCCTTGGAATCTGTAGTCTTAGGGAGCGGAGCTTCCAACACCGGAAGCTGGCACGATCACCACAGCAACTCAGTTAATACAGCGGAGACCTTCTCGCGGTTATGCAGGTTAGCTGCTGTACGTCGCAGGCATCCTGTTTACATGTCTTGCTCACAGAGACTAGACTGATAGAAGCTGCAATCCCAGGAAGACTACAATTCCCATCCAGCCCCGCGATTCTCGGGTAACTAGTCCTCCAAGGTCAGTGACCTTAGGGAAGCAGAGGGCGGCCAATCGGCTTGGGAAAGGGAAATCCACTCCGCTGACATCTGCGCACTAGTTCCGCCCCTCGGCCTGGGTGTTTGTTATTGTTGTGCGGGTCAGATAGCTTCTGTCCCGCCCTTGCCAACGCAGCATTGACCAATCGGTGGAGTGGTGGTTTTGAGGGACAAATAGTTAGAACCAATCATTTTGTCGGAAACTCAGAGAAACATGGGACTAGTCCCGGTCTCTGTCCGCCATGTTAGATTCACCCCGCAGGGCTAAGCAGCGGAGCTGGCAGCAAGCGGTCCTTGCACCGGCCACGGGCAAGCGCCCCCCGTGGGCGGAAAGCTGGTAAGGAAGCCACTGCAGTTCCCTAGGAGTGGGGTCACGTCGTTCGTAGAGGTCTCGGGGAAGTTCAAGGGGAGAATCTTGAAAAGAGGAGTGACTATTTCCGTGTTGAGGGGCAGCCAGTCCTTTGAGTGGCCAGACAGCTGCCTGGGTTGTCAGCGACACTGGGGTGTATATGCTGCTTGAAGGAGCGTCTTCATGGCTTAGAAAGGCCTGTTTCTGCTAGGAGAAAGTCAAAATCCCCCGGGACAAAAAGAGGGCCTCCGGTGGTGCTGACACTCACTGCCCTGAGGACATGGAATTCCGGGAAACGAGAACTGGAAGACTAGATTAGGTGTGTGTGAGAAGAAGGGGCATACGTCTTCCTCCTTCTGAGTATTCCTCTTTTTGGGACTCTGTTGAAGATATCTTGGTCTAGGACCTTCCGTGTTAGAGAGCATCGTTTTCCCTTTTTGTCAAGCACCCAGCTTTCAGATCACCAATTTTAAACCGTAGGTAGCTTTAAACAACTCTGCTAGACACAATAGAGTTCAGATCCGCCTTACTAGTATTATTTTGTCGAGGTTGAAAAAAAATCCTATGGGAAGAAGCTGACTTTGTCACATGAATGTGAGTCAATAAGGCATGAGTTTACAGTGCCACTTAGGAAAGCTGCAGGCTTAGGCCCAGCTACCTGACCGATGGCTGTAAACAATGGGGAATACGGGAGGTTAACTTACCTTTGATATTTTCACAAGTTCAAGATTAATGCTCTGGCTGAATTTTCACATGTAAGTCACAGTGAGGTGGGCCTTTTCTGAAGACCTGTATATTGGCTAGCTAAACTAGACTCTCTCACTTCCTGTTTTCTCCCATTGACAGAGCAGCTGGATGAACTCCAAAGTATGGAAACTAATTCTCACTTGTGTCATTTGAGAACGGGGAAGATTAGTTTCCTTCCAGACAGAACAGTGTGGAAGTGTATTTCTTGAAGTTGAAAAGAGTGAGTGTGTTTCAGAATGTTTTCTTTTGGCACACTCAGTCACTTCATTTTCCTGATTTAAAAAAACTCCAAAACCCTGCCTAAATTTTAAAGATTCTAGGGAAGAATTGCATTTTAGGTAAATGAATGCTGGATGTCAACAGGATTGATGCTAGAGGCTAGTATTTGGCAGTGAGCTTAACTCTAGATGAAGACAAGTCATGGAAAAAATTGGATAATTGAGTCTCTAAAATAATCTGTGATTAAAAACACAAGGTTTTTTTTGTTTTGTTTTGTTTTGTTTTGTTTTTTGGTTTTTCGAGGCAGGGTTCCTCTGTAATGTTTTGGAGGCTGTCCTGGAACTTGCTCCGTAGACCAGGCTGACCTGGAACTAAGAGATCCTCCTGCCTCTGCCTCCCAAGTGCTGGGATTAAAGGCGTATGCTACCAACGCCCGGCTCAAGAAGTTCTTATGATAATAGTTTTCATATTTGAATAGTATTTGAAAGAATGCTACATACTGGGACTAGAGAGATTGCTCAGAAGTTAAAAGCACTGAGTTCAAGTCCCAGCACCACATGGTAGTTCCCAACTATCTATAATGAGATCTGGTGCTCTCTTCTAGTGTGCAGGCAGGAACAATGTATACACAATAAATTTAAAAAAAAAAAGAATCCTACATACTTTGTGGTGCTGGAAATTGGCCCTACAGCTTTGTACTTAAGTGATCTGGTTCCTTACTCCCAGTCCCTAGATCAAGATTTTATTATATCCCTTTGATAACACTGTTACTGCCAGCAAAATAGACTTTGTTTTACAGTAAATGAGTGAAGCTCAGAGATAAGCAGTCTTGCCCACAGTTGTGTGGCCTGTCTTGTGGCAGAACTGTAGCTGGGACCCAAGTCTTCCCATCCTATTGGCTCCCTTCATTGACATTGGCAACATCTAGGACTTAATCTTGTTCATTTCTTGTTTGTGGAGCAGAATCTGGCTCTTTCTACATGCAGATTGAAAATGGGATGGATATTTTAAGAGGCGACATTTTTTGACAGTGTCTACTACTTATAGCTTTAAAAGTAAGCAACATCTTTCGTTAAAATCAAATAGGTTGTTTTTCTAGGGGTGGAGGTGTTTCGGGACAGGGTTTCTCTGTGTAACAGCCTTGGCTATCCTGTAACTGGCATTTGTAGACTAGGGATTCCACCTCCCTCTGCCTCCCAAGTGCTGGTATTACAGGCATGTGCCACTACTGCCTGGCTAAAATCAAATAGATTTTAACAGTAGGCATTTAATTAGGAAATTGCTCCCCTCCCCAAACCACACCTCTTTTTTTGTTTGTTTGTTTTTGCTTTTATGAGACAGGGTTTCTCTGTATTGTTTTGGAGGCTGTGGTACCAGCCCGGCCTCGAACTCACAGAGATCCGCCTGCTTCTGCCTCCTGAGTGCTGGGATTAAAGGCGTGCACCACCACCGCCCAGCAACCACAGGACTTCATTGTTTTCTAGGCTGGCCTAGAATAGAACTCTTGGACTCCAGCTACCATCCTGCTTCAACTTCCTGAGTAACTGGGATTACAGGTGTGTGCCACTCTGCCTTTTCTTCTCTCTCTCTCTCTCTCTCTCTCTCTCTCTCTCTCTCTCTCTCTCTCTCTCTCTCTCTCTCTCATTCTATGTGCATTGGTGCTTTGCTATGGGTGTCAGGTCCTCTGGAACTGGAATTACAGACAGTTGTGAGCTGCCACGTGGGTGCTGTGAATTGAACCCCGGTCCTTTGGAAGAACAGTCTTAATCAATGAGCTCTTAACCACTGAGCCTCTCCATCCTTTGGATTTTATTTCTAATGTGCAAGTTCTAAATGAGTTTAACTCTGTAACATAAGTGCAAATCTTTATGGCATAGTTTGAGCATTAGTGTCTTTATTTCTGAGAAAAAGAAGAAATCCTTATGTAACAGTGAGATTTGATATATAACACACTACTAGAGAGTAAATCATGTAACAGTAGGGGCATTGTTTTCTTATTCACTATGATCTCCCAAATCTAACATATATTAAACCTAATGTGTCTCTGTGGGTTTTTAATCCCTTCCTCTTTTTTCAACCATCCATCTTCTCAGCCCCACCTCACAGCATGGAACCACAGGTTACTCTAAATGTGACTTTTAAAAATGAAACTCAAAGCTTCCTGGTGTCGGATCCAGAAAATACAACTTGGGCTGATGTTGAAGCTATGGTGAGTATCACTTTGTTCTGTTTTCCAGTAGTTTAAATACAGTCAGTCTTTTAAGATGTACCTAGTTTTAGCAATTCTTTTCATAACTGTTAAGTTTGTCATCATTACCATTTCTGGATATTTTGAAAAATAGTTTTTGACATGGTTTCATTATTTGTATAAGATTTGTACCAAGAATCTGAGGGATAAGTTAGTGTGTCCTTTACCCTAGCCAGGCTAGGGCAGTGTTGTCTAGCTGGAGAGTACATGCATCGCTGCTGTTTGTTAACTGCCAAGGATAGGACTTGTATTTTGCAAGACCTGCCAGTTGCTTTACTGTTGGGTCAAAGGTTGGCTATCTCAACATTGGCAAAAAGCAAAACCCCATGGGTGTTTTTGCTCATAGTTTCTCTCATTCAGGTTGCCCTTTGCACTCCTCTGCCTTCACTGGTTTGCCTTGGTCAATGTTTTACTATTTGGGCACCTGTGTTTAAAGTAACCATTTGGTTACAATCATGTCTTTACCTGGTTATCTGTGTGGGTAGCTTAAAAAGGAAGGAGATGTTAGAAGGGCCTTCCAAAATGTTACATTCTAGTTCCCTGCATTCCCCAGATTTCACTCTATACATTCCTGGGCAGATGGTTATTGGGAAAGTACTGGGATTTTTGAAAATGATCTGAGCACCAGTTAACCTCTCTTTCCCTAGTAGCAGGGTGAGTTGACAGCTTTCGTTTTTCTTTTATTGTAAAAATTTAAGTTATAAAAGTGTAATACATGCCCATTAAAAGACATGAAACCGGCCTGGAGAGATGGCTCAGAGGTTAAGAGCACTGGCTGCTCTTCCAGAGGCCCTAAGTTCAATTCCCAGCAACCACATAGTGGCTCACTGCCATCTGTAACGAGATCTGGTGCCCTCTTCTGGCCTGCGGGGACACATGCTGGCAGAACACAGTACATTAAAAAAAAAAAAGACATGAAACTATCAAGATGCAAGGAGATAATGTCTGTACACAAACTTCTACCCTGTATCTACCACCCACACCTCCTTTAAATAACTGGAGGTAACAGCCCTGAGTATTCCCCACTTTTCCATGTTCCATGTTCATGCAGGTATCATGCTAGGGTCATAGGAAACACTGTTCTGCAGGTTGCTTTTCTTGCGCAACAGTGTAATGTAGCCATAGTTTTTAATCATCAGACACAGAGCAAAGTTTGTTATGCTGAACACTGGATGTAATTGTTACTGGTTGTTTACCAGGATTTTCTTTTCACATTATAAAATAGACAAGACCTACACATCTCTCCGTATGTATAATTTATGTATTCTATGGGGTAGACTCTATCCAAAGGTGAGGTGTGATTTTGAATTTTTAAAAATTGTGGTGTGGGGTGGGGCTCCTTCCTTTGACTTTTATGTGAGTTCTGGGATCAGTCTCAGATTATCAGACTTTTATATATTGTATACAAGTACTTTACTACTTAAGCCATCTCATTAGCCCTGACTTTTAAGTTTTTATAGATAGTGCCTATGGTGGTGGCCTAGTGTTTTAAGAGTACTTGGCTCCCTTCCAAAGGACCCAGTCCCGCAGCCAGATGGCAGCTCACAAGTATCTTTAACTGCACTTCTAGAACATCAGATGCACTCTCCTGGCCTCTCCAGGCACACACCTGGTACCCAGATTTACATGAAGGCAAAACACCCATGTGCATAAAATTAAATTAAAAACACATTAATGGACCGGGCAATGGTGGCACACATCTTTAATCCCAGCACTTAGTAGGCAGAAGCAGATGAATTTCTGAGTTCAAGGCCAGCCTGGTATACAAAGAGAGTTCCAAGACGGCCAGAGTTATTACACAGAGAAATTCTTTCTGGAAAAGAAAAAAGAAAATTAAGGAATATTATTTTCAGGTGTGTTACTTTAGTTTATGTTGCATTTGTTTAACTCTGTGAAGCTGTGATTCTTTGCCCCTCTAAAACACCTGATGGTCTTAATAAAGAGCTGAATGGCCAATAGCGAGGCAGGAGACAGGACAGGCAGGGCTGGGGAGCAGAGAATATAAATAGAAGGAAATACAAGGAAGAAGTAGCCAGAGAAGGAGGAGGACTCCAGGAGCCAGCCTGCCAGCTACACAGCAAGCTCAGAGTAAGAAATAAAGACAGGTGGTATACCGAATTGAAAAGTAAAAGCCGAGAGGCAAAAGGTGGATACAATAATTTAAGAAAAGCTGGTGCTGGGCGGTGGTGGCGCACGCCTTTAATCCCAGCACTTGGGAGGCAGAGGCAGGTGGATCTCTGAGTTCGAGGCCAGCTTGCTCTACAAGAGCTAGTTCCAGGACAGCCTCCAAAGCCACAGAGAAACCCTGTCTCAAAAAACAAAAAAAACAAAAAGAAAGAAAGAAAGAAAGGAAGAAAAGAAAAGCTGGCAAGAAACAAGCCAAGCTAAGGCTGGTCTTTCATAACTAAGAATAGGCCTCCATGTGTAATTTATTTGGGAGCTAGGTGGTGGGCCCCTCAAAAAGCTGAAAAAACCAAAGGAGTAAATCATCACACACAAACTCAACAAAAAAAATTTAATGGGTAACTGCCAAGTATTTCACAGAATTATGACAGTGCACAGAAAAAAACTACGGGATGCCTTGAGTTTTGCTTTGTATGCAGTACTGGGGATCAAACATGGGGCCTTCTACATGCTAGATAAGCACTCTGCCACTTAGCTATGTCCCTTGCCCTGAATGTTTTCCAAAAGAAAAAAGTTTACCCTCTGAACCTGCCCAATTGTCTGTTTACATTGTTTAGCAATAAAGTTGAATGTTTTTATGTATTTATTAGGCATTCCTCGCCGGGCGTTGGTGGCCCACGCCTTTAATCCCAGCACTTGGGAGGCAGAGGCAGGCGGATCTCTGTGAGTTCGAGGCCAGCCTGGTCTACAAGAGCTAGTTCCAGGACAGCCTCCAAAGCCACAGAGAAACCCTGTCTCGAAAAACAAAAAACAAAAAAAACAAAAAAAAATTAGGCATTCCTCTTTCCTCTTCTGTAAATTTTCTGCATATTTTCACTTGTATTAGTTTTTTTTTTCTTTTAAGTTTCTCTGTGTATCTCTGACTGTTCTGGAACTCACTATATAGACCAATCTGGCTTCAAATACACAGAAATCTGCTTGCCTCTGCCTCTCAAATGCTGGGAGTAGAAACTTAAAGATGTGTCCTACCACTGGACCCTACTGTCAGTTTTGATGATCTTTTCCGTGTTTGCAGATATTACTCCCTTATCTGTTACCACTTGCAGATATTTTCTCTCAGTCTGTTTTCTCTGTGTTTGTAATTTTTTTTGTTTATTTATTCTTTATGTACACTGGTGTTTTGCCTGCATGTATGTCTGTGTGAGGGTGTCAGATCTTGGAGTTATAGATGGTTGTGAGCTGCCATGTGGGTGATGGGAATTGAACCCAGGTCCTCTTGAAGAGCAGCCAGTGCTCTTAACTGCTAAGCACAACCTCTGAGTTGTTTTTTAAAACTGTATTAGGATGTTTTGCTGGAAATGTACTTCTGCACTCACAAAGCCCTGCATTGAATCCCATTACAAAAAGAATAGAAACAAGGGGCCAGGTAGTAGACTCTGAGGGTTAAGCCCATGCCATGTAGATGTCAGCCCAGCTCTTTTTTTCCCAAGCACCTATATAAATGTCAGGTGGGTGTTATGGCCTGTCTATAACCTGCTACTTAAGAAACATAGTGGCTGGAGAGATGATGGCTCAGAGGTTAAGAGCACTGCCTGCTCTTCCAAAGGTCCTGAGTTCAATTCCCAGCACCCACATGGTGGCTCACAACCATCTGTAATGAGATCTGGTGCCCTCTTCTGGCATGCAGGGATACATGCAGACAAAACACTGTATACATAACAAATAAATAAACCTTAAAAAAAGAAAAAGAAAAAGAAACATAGTGCATCCTAAAAGCAGAAGTAAATTGGTGCTGGGCGGTGGTGGTGCACACCTTTAATTCCAGCACTCGGGAGGCAGAGGCAGCCGGATCTCTGTGAGTTCAAGGCCAGCCTGTTCTACAGAGCGAGTTCCAGGACAGCCTCCAAAACAATACAGAGAAACCCTGTCTCGAAAAACCAAAAAAGAAAGAAAGAAAATTGGCTAATGAGGCTAGCCTAATTGGTGAGCTTTGGGTTCAAGAAACTCTGCCTCACTACAAGGTGGAGATGCATGAACTGATGATACCTGCAAGCTGTAAGAGCCGTGGTCTTGGAAAGGTCTACACCAAACCACCCACAGGCCAAAAAGGGGGGAGACTAAAAAAGAATGAAGTTAAAATATTTATACGCTGAGATACACTAATCCATTTGTTTTGTTTGCAGGTAAAAGTTTCATTTGATCTGAATACTATTCAAATAAAATACCTGGATGAGGAAAATGAGGAGGTAAAGTAACTGTGGACCCCCTTTTAAATATTTAAAATAAGGATCTTTTCCAGAGTGAAGCAGAGTTTCAAAAGTTCAGAATATAAAGTTCATTGTAATGGCTCACACCCATATTTCCAGTACTTGGGAGACTGAGGCTTGAGAATCCTAGGAAGTTTAAGGTCAACCTGGGCTTTAGAACAAAATATTATCTTAGTGGGCCATAAAGGAAAAAGACAAAGAAAGAGGTTCAGAATAATATTATTCATTTGCCTAATAGTTTAAATATACTTCATTCATGACAATTAGTGGCATCTGAGATGGAGCTGAGAAATGGGAAAGCAACATGGAGAGTATCAGAGAGAGGAGCTAAAACTATAACAAGGCTGTCATTTAGTTAATGATGCTGCTGCTGCTAATAGGGGCTCTTTAAACTAAGTGGTTAATGTATCAGACTAGCAGTACTGTATTGGGTATCTTCATTTTATCATGAGGAACCAGAGGCACTGAAAGATGAGGGATTTTATCCAAAGACATAAAAATAATGAAGTAGGGGCTTTAGATCCCAGGCCTCCTAGCCCTACAGTGTCCTACCTGTTCATGTCCCTAAGATAAAACAGAGCGCATTATTTAAATCCGTTGTGGAAATGCTAAACACTGAAGCTAGGAATTGGACATGAGACTGGCCCTGGTTAATATAAATGCTCAGTGATGAGACTTAGCATTCACTGTTGCCTTTTTCTCTTCATAGGTATCCATCAATAGTCAAGGTGAGTTCCTGAGAACAATCTAGTCAACTTTACTTCAAATTTGCCTGACATGGTAAAATCTGTCTGTAAGTCCAGTACTGAGCAGGCTGAGGCAGGAGGATTTCAGGTTTAAGGGCGATCTGGGCTACATAGTGAATCAAATTTATCTGCTCATTGAGGTGTTTTCATTTCAACTATGTTTTGCTCTAGCATACATTTTAGAATAGAATTTGTTGTGCTGTAAATTGACACTGTACCATGGGCACTAGTTTCATAAGAGATTTTTCTTTTCCTTTTTTCTTTTTGAGGCAGTCTCAGGAGGTAGCCCTGGCTGGCTTCAAATTTAGTGTGTTGCCTAGGATGACTTTAAACATATAATTGTCAGAGCTGGAGAGAGGACTCAGAGGTTAAGAACACTGACTGCTCTTCTAGAGGACTTGGGTTCAATTCCCAGCACCCACATGGCAGCTCACAACTGTCTGTGACTCCTGTTTCAGGGCCTCCAACACCCACAAACAAAAATACATGCAGGCAAAATACCAATGTACGTAAAAATAGAAATAATTTTTTTTAAAAAATCCATACATTCTCTTGCCTCTACCTCCCGAATGCTGAGATTACAATTCTATGCCTCTGGCCCCACTTTATGCAGTGCTAGGAATCAAATTCAGAGCTTGGCACAGGTGAGGCAAGCACTCTACCAACTCCACTACATCCCTAGCCTCAGAAGGGATTTTTATTGTATACCTTAAAAAAAAAAATAGAAGATGGTACATTTGCATGGACCATAAGGACAGGCGTTATCCAATTTAAAATGCTAATCCTCTGGAAATAATATACATCTAGTTCATCACATACAATTCATTCTGCTAGCGTTGCATTTGTTCTGACCTGGCACATATGTGAATTTCAATGCATAGGCAAACTGCATTCCCATGTTTATCAGATGGTTGGTTATGGTCTGTATTTTAGTCCCCAAAACCTTATTTGAATCAGGTAAGATGATAGTCTTAGCACAGTCTTTAACTCCACTGAATCTTGTACTTCACAAAGCCTAGTTAGAGTTGCTGGGTTGATTCTTGTACTAAGAAGGCACAGAGGGACTATGAAGAACATGTTTTGTAGTAGTTTCTGTGTGCAGTATGTAAGTGTTGCATTCACTTTTCCTGGGGAGACACAAAAAAATGTCCCGCCATACCAGGTAGGCACCAATAACAGATCAAAGCACAGTCTCACCAAAGTCCAGCATGGTGAAACCAGTGAGTTTGTTGGGCTTCCTTGCAGAGCAGAATTACCCAACAACTACATCACTTCGAAGTCCCACCCCATCACCGCTTGCAATCTCACTGCATCATGGAGTCCTGGTTTTAGCCATCCTTTTACTTCTGTAAATAGTCTGGCATCTCTCAAGATCATTTGCAGCTGGGGAAAGGAGTTGGAATCTCCCGGCAAGGGTCTCTGGACACCTTCATGGAGTACCAATAGCTTTTGACTGCCACTATATTGTTGTGCTCTGGTTGTCATAACTATGTGGGGAGAGACCAAGAATGTTACAACCAGAGGGGAAAGTAACATACAACAATAAGAGAGTTTGTCTAGCAAAAAGGTAGCGACTATCCATATGTAAGGATTATAAGCATTTGAGTAGGATTTGGGTTTACTTTTTTAAAATAAACTTTATATTGTTAAGATGTATAACTCTGATATGAAATACATATAGATAGCTTTAAAATATTAGTTCAATCAAAGAAATTAAAGTGTGTCATCCACAGTTGCCACGCCCACACCCTACGTGCCACTTCAGTGAGAGTAGCTGAAATCTACTTTAGCAAAATTCTTAAACACAGTACATTATTGTTAACTGTAGTCTTCATATTGTACACTAGAACTATAGTATTAGCTAAGCACGATGCTTCCCGTCTGTAACCATAACACACAAAGGATTATTAAGTTTGACGCCAACCTGGGCTACATAGCTAGGCCTGCACTCCCCACCCTCAAACCACCACCCCCCAAAAAAGCAAAAGACTGTAGGATTGATAATAAGCAATGGAATCTTTAGGACTGGCAAAAATAAATAAATGATGTTGTTTTTCTTTTTTTTTTTTGGTCCCTGTAGAAGAATATGAAGAAGCACTTAAGGTAATGTTTACTTTATTTTCAAGTAGTTTTAGGAATATTTATTGAGCCCTAAACTTCACTGGAAAGTCTTCCGTTTTGTTAGGGAGACTGCTATGGTAAGTAGGGCATGTGACTCAGCAGCAGGCAGTTCCTAATACAGGTCAGGTTGTTGTGTCATCTCATTGCTGGTCTTGGTGCCACCATCTCATGATTTCAAAAGAAGCCCTGGGTGTGGTGGTACACCTCTGTAATCCCAGCACTCGGGAGGCCAAGGTACCTGGACCGTTGAGTTCAAAGACCACTTAGACTATACATCCATCAGTTGACATAGTTACATATGGAATGTTATTTTAAATGGAATCTTAAGTCTATTGTATAAAAAGGTAAAGGGAAAACAATTATGAAAGGTGGGGGGATGCTAGAAATCTAGCCATTCAGTCCCAAATTTTTCTTAAACACTTAAGTACCTTCATGGAAGCCAAACTACTTCTTGACAGAGTTTCCAAAATACATTATTAGGAAGATGCTCTTCACAGAGATACAATTACTTAAGCTTGCTTTCTAAAATGCAAGGTTAGTGAAAAGTAGATGCTTAACTATAGGGCATAGCTTTAAGTTTCCATGATTAGTGTTAGTCTGGAATTGATTTTTGTGTTTTAGAAAGTTGAGATTAGTTAGTTCACACTTGTGAAGCAGGAGGACTTTGAGCTGAAGGCCAATCAGGGCAACCCCAGGCAGACCCCATCTCAAAAGAGACAAACAAAAAAATTAAAGGAGAACCTAGCTAATGAAAAAAATCTCACCTAGAAATTTCCTCAGCGTTGGTGGCGCACACCTTTAATCCCAGCACTCAGGAGGCAGAAGCAGGCGAATCTCTGTGAGTTCGAGGCCAGCCTGGTCTACAGATCGAGTTCCAGGACAGCTGGGGCTCCACAAAGAAACCCTGTCTCAAAAAGCCAAAAAAAAAAAGAAAGAAAGAAATTTCCCCAAACTTTAACAAAATAAAGCCATTTGTAGTTAATATTCTTCACATTAGGCTAGATATTAATGTGGAGGTTGACTCTATCTAAAGTACTTGGAACTTGACATGCCTCAATTTTTAATTTTTTTTTTATATTTGTACATTCATAATGAGATATCTTAGGGATAGATCCCAAGACTAAATTTGAAATTTGTCTCATTCTTTGCATATTCTAAAGGTAATTTTCTATAGTATTCTTAGTATAGTGTATTTTGATTATTGCTGATCATAAAATGCCAGGTGCTAATTTTCCACTTATGGTATCATGTCATTACCTCAAAAGTTTAGGTGCTTGACGTGTTCATTTAGAAATTCAAACAAGGGTCTGGAGAGATGGCTCAGAGGTTAAGAGCACTGGTTGCTCTTTTTTAGGTCCTCAGTTCAATTCCCAGCAGCAAAATGGTGACTCACAATCATCTTTAGTGAGATCTGATGCCCTCTTATGAAGTGTAGTGATACATGGAGACATAATGTTGTATACATAATAAATTTTAAAAAATAAATGCAAACAAAAAGCATAGTTTACTATACTTCTGTATTTCCATGACATTTCGTTTGGAAAGAGAATCACGGTGTATTTTTATTTTTTAACATGCTCTTGTAACATGTTTCCAGATGGCTAACATTAAGCAAGGAAACCAACTACAGATGCAAGTCCACGAAGGGTACCATGTGGTAGATGAAGCAGTTCCCCAAATTGTAGTAGAAACACAAGAAGCTGCCAGGACAGGGAAGAAGCCCCTTGCACATTATTCTTCACTGGTGAGAGTCCTGGGATCGGATCTGAAGACCACAGAGGAGCCTGCAGCACAGGTATGAAGAGGATGGACCTATCTGTCCAGCTCAGCCTTACATCTGATTGTCTCTCACATACCATTTGGATAGTCATCAAAGAAGGCTGGGAGGTAGCCTTGCAAGCACAAGAACCTGAGTTTGATCCCCAGAATCCATGTTTGTTTGTTCTTTTTTTTTTGTTTTGTTTTGTTTTGGTTTTTTTTTGTTTTGTTTTTCGAGACAGGGTTTCTCTGTGGCTTTGGAGGCTGTCCTGGAACTCACTTTGTAGACCAGGCTGGCCTCGAACTCACAGAGATCCGCCTGCCTCTGCCTCCCGAGTGCTGGGATTAAAGGCGTGTGCCACCACCGCCTGGCCTAGATACACCAGGTTTACGGACATGACACTATGCTTGGCTTTATGTAAATTTGGGAGATTGAACTCATGTATTCATGCTTGCATACCACCTCTTTACCTAGTAAGTCATCTTTCCAACTCCCTTTAAAAAAAAAAAAAGAACAAAAGCAGGGCGTTGGTGGCGCGTGCCTTTAATCCCAGCACTCGGGAGGCAGAGGCAGGCGGATCTCTGTGAGTTCGAGGCTGTACTGGACCGACAGCCTCCAAAACAAATTTGTCTTGTAAAACCAAAAAAAAAAAAAAAAAAACCTGATGTATCTATAATCCAGTGCTCCTATGGCAAGATGGAAAGCAGAAACAAGAGGATCTCTAAAAGCTCACAGGCCAGATAGCTTGGCAGTGGTGAACAACAAAAGAGAGACCCACTCTCACAAAGTGGAAGGCAAGAACCAACAACATCTATGTATGTGCCTGTATTCACACAGAAGAGCCAGGTGTGGTACATATGTGTGGTCTCAGCACCAAAGAGGCAGACACAGGAAGATCCTTGGGGTTTGCAGGCCAGCCAGCCTAGCTTAGTTAGCTGTTTCTAGGCCAGTGAGAGACTCTGCCTTAAAAAGAAAAAATAATGAGCTGTGCCTGAGGAATAACACCCAAGGTTGTCCTGCAGCCCCCACATGCATGTACACTGCGTACATGTGTGCACAAAAGATTGAATGTTACGTCAATCATCTGGGTCTGAACTTTTGAAACTGGCAACCTGGTTTACTTCTAGAGAAAGAGAAGAAACTAGAAAACACTTTCCAACTGTAACTTTTTTTAAGATTATTTTTTTATGCGCCAGGTGGTGGTGGCACATGCCTTTAATCCCAGCACTCGGGAGCCAGAGGCAGGTGAATCTCTGGTCTGTTCCAGGACATCGGGGCTATACAGAGAAACCCTGTCTCAAAATTTTTTTTTTTATTTATTATGTATATCATGTTCTGCTTGCATTGTCAGAAGAAGTCACCAAATCTCATAGATGGTTGTGAGCCACCATGTTGTTTTCTGGGAGTTGAACTCTGCAGACATTGCTTTAACCTCTGAGCCATCTCTCCAGCCCCTCACACTGTAACTTTTAAAAAACTACATGCTTGTGGTAATTTGATAAGGGGAACCTGAAAGTGACATTTTGGAAGAATTACTTTTGAAAAGAAAAGTAACTCCCAAGGTCTTGGATTGTCTTTTCTCACAGCCATGGCCACTTGCTCCTTGTGACACAGACCAGCCTCAAGACAAGCCCCCAGACTGGTTCACGAGCTACCTGGAGACAGTAAGTGTGCTCGCAACTCGGGTTTTAGCAGCACTGTTGGCACAGGGAGAAAGCTGAGCCCAGAAGGCTGCGGCTGGTGCTGCAGGTGATGGAATGGCAGCTGATGGTTTCCACACAGCAGATATGGCAAGGACATTGTAGCCTTTTCCTGGGAATCATGAGAAGAGGAAGTCTAGTTCTAAGCATGAGGGGAAGAGATGGATCTCTGCTTGAGAAGGACACAGTTAGGAACAAAATCATCCCAAGGAAGAGGCAGCTTAGCCATGAAAGGAACAAGCCTGTAACATCTCTGTTCATTGCTCCAGTAGCCATCTGCCGTGTTATTCCAGAGACAGGGGCATTTCAGGTTTGCTGTTTTCTTCTCACTTTTTTCAGTACAGAAACTGAGTTTTCCCCCCACCTTCTGCTCTGCATTGTAGTTCAGAGAACAAGTGGTTAAGGAAACAGTTGAGAAGCTTGAACAGAAGTTGCAGGAGAAGCTTGTCCTCCAGAGGCCATGCTTGGGTTCCTCACCCTCCGAAGTCTCAATGCAGGAAACCCTGTTTTTACGAGAGAACCAATTCAGCTGGCATATTGCTTGCAGCCACTGCCAAAAAAGGATCATTGGTGTGCGTTACCAATGTAGGTAAGCCATTCCTGGGCAGAGGAGTGACTGCCTAGCATTCTGGGCACGTCAAAGGAAGCTGAATGTCTTCTGTCTCCGATCAGTAGGTGATGTGGCTTGGATTTGGAAGCACAAGCTGCTCCTCATTTACCTGTGTTGTGGGTTTTCTGGGAGCTAATCTGAGTGCTATTCAGATATACATTTGGATTAATACGACCAGGCAAAATTAAGTTCCCTCAATCAAAATTAGATCACTGAAGATAGACCCCTGCCTTGTTCAAAATGTTCTTGTATCTTCTTCCTGTAAACTATTTCATGGAAATAGTTATGATTGGGAGTTACTGTTCTCGTTTTACTAATGAGAAATATAGGCTCAACATAGCTGGTAGTGAAGCAAATATAAAGTCTAATCTTGCTCTACTTCAGGGACTTCCTACTGTGAAGTTTTTACTTTGTTATTCTTTTCACACAGCCTGTGCCCATCCTACAACATTTGTGAAGATTGTGAAGCTGGACCATATGCCCATGACAATAACCATGTCCTGCTAAAATTGCGGAGACCTGTTTTGACTTCCTCCGAGCCATTTTCCCACTTAAAATATCCTACTCCTCGTTTTCCTGCTGCTCTTGAACAAGTCAGGTACTCATCTGATTGGCTTCTTGATTCTGCTTACACAGCATGCTGATGTTAAAAATATCTGACGTAGGCCAGGTAGTGGTGGTGTACACCTTTAATCCCAGCACTCAGGAGGCAGAGGCAGAGGCAGGTTGATCTCTGTGAGTTCAACACCAGCCTGGTCTACAAGAGCTAGTTCCAGGACAGCCTCCAAAGCCACAGAGAAACCCTGTCTCAAACACCCCCCCCAAAAAAAATTGCAGTGATATTATATAGTTTCACAAAACCACTAATAGTTTCCTTATTTTGCTCCTTCTCAATTGGTGTATAATAATGAAACACTGAGACTCAAGTGGGAATAATGACTAAAAGAAATTAAGAAACAAGATAACATCAGTGGATTTACTTAGCTCCAAAATAGCCTCAAGGTTTGTTTGTGTTTTAAGACATTCATTCATTATACCACAGGCTCCAGAAACAGGTGGATAAGAACTTTGTGAAAGCAGAAAAGCAAAGGTTGCGTGCTGAGAAGAAACAGCGGAAAGAAGAGGTCAAGGAGCTTAAAAAGCAGCTTAAACTCCACAGGAAGATTCATTTGTGGAATTCGATCCATGGACTCCAGAGTCCCAGGTCCCCTTTGGGCCGACCTGACAGCTTCCTGCAGTCTAACACCCTGATGTAAGTCCCGGGTCAACTCTAGACTGGAGCTTTAGCCATCTTGTCTTAGCAGTTGTGTCCCAGCACCTACCCAGTTCAAGCTGGCTCAGGAGTTTATTGTTTTTTGGTTTTTTTTGGTTTTTTTTTTTTGCGAGACAGTTTCTCTGTGGCTTTGGAGGCTGTCCTGGAACCCGCTCGGTAGTCCAGGCTGGTCTTGAACTCACAGAGATCCGCCTGCCTCTGCCTCCCGAGTGCTGGGATTAAAGGTGTGCGCCACCAACTCCCGGCCAGGAGTTATTTCTGACACTTGCTTTGATGCCTTATTCAGAAAGCTAGTAAGACTCAGAATGGGGGTGATGACCCAGACTTCTCTCAGAATGGGGCTGACATCTCAGACTTCTCTTGTCTGGAGACCATGTGGCTGGGTAGAAGCAAAAGAAGCAAGTCTCCATTTGTATTTATGGACATGTTTAATTATCTGTTAAGGCATTGTGTCTTTGTTTTTATAGCCTTGAGTTTGATTCACACACACTCTGACCTTTGTGCGTTCTGGGGATTAAACAGAACTGCAGTCACTCACTGGGCTTGCATGGCAAGCACCTTTCCCTGCTGAGCCTGCTCACTGGCCATAATTGGTGTTGTTTTTAAGGCAAATGTATTAATACATACTTAAAAAGCAGTCAGCCTCTTAAATCATAGTGTGGCATGTTCAGAAACCATCATACCTGACAGCATGTGACTAAGCATCTGGATTTCTGTCCAGGCTTCCTTTGCAGCCCTGTGCCCCAGTTATGCCAGTGCTTAGTGCAGCATTTGTGGATGAGAATTTGCCTGATGGGACTCATCTTCAGCCAGGAACCAAGTTCATCAAACACTGGAGGATGAAAAACACAGGAAATGTGAAGTGGAGTACAGACACAAAGGTACTTTTCCTCTCTAAATGGTAGACGGTGATGTACCGTAGCAAAGGACACAGATGACAAGCTTCTTCTGTTCTTTTCAGCTCAAGTTCATGTGGGGAAACTTGACATTGGCTTCTACAGAACGGAAGGATGTTTTGGTTCCCTGCTTGAAAGCTGGCCATGTGGGGGTTGTGTCTGTGGAGTTCATCGCTCCAACCTTAGAGGGAACATACACTTCACATTGGCGTCTTTCCCACAAAGGCCAGCAGTTTGGACCTCGGGTCTGGTGCAGTATCATAGTGGATCCTTTTCCCTCCTCGGAGAGCCCTGATAACATTGAAAAGGGCCTGATGAGCTCAAGCAAAGCTGATGACTTCACCTGTGAGCAAGAGGTGAGCACTTACACTGTAGACTTTGCCCCAGAATACCAAGTTACTGCCTCGGTTGTTAGGAAGGTCAGGCTTGGTGACACATGCCTATATTTCATGCACTTGGGAGGCTGAACAAGAGTATTACAAGTTTGGGGCTAGCTCTTGCTAAGGACTGACACAGATGGACACTGGGGACCTGAACCTAAAAGAACTCATTCTTAGCTTGCTATCCTCCAGACGTCCTAAAAATTTATGAGTTTTCCATCACTACGACAAAATACTTGAGATAATTAACTTATAAAAATAAAGGTTCATTTTGGTTCAGTTTCAGAGGTTCGGGTCCATGATAAGGCAGACCTATTGGTTTTGGTCTCTAGTTGGTGTGTTAGACTGTACTGCCATAAAGCATATGGCAGAGAGAGAGAAAGGGGGGGAAATGACACTCAAGGACAAGAAGAAAAGAAAAAAAGAGGAGGACCAGAGTCCAACGTGTTTCCCTTTGAGCACATAACCACAGTGACCTAAAGACCTCAGATAAGACTCCACCTTGTGTTTACTGTCTAGTAGTACCATGCCTCTGTGAGCCAAGTATTTGGATTTTCAAGACAGGTTTCTCTGTAGCTCTGGTTGTCCAGGAACTCCGAGATCCTACCAATGCCTCCAGGTGCTGAGATTAAAGGCCAGTTCTGGATTAAAGTTGTGTCCTACCACTGCCCATCTTAGGGGCCAAACTTTTACCGCATGGAATCTGGGGGATAGTCTTCCTTCCTGTACAGTTTTTGTTTTTTTCGAGACAGGGTTCCTCTGTATTCTCTTGGAGGCTGTCCTGGAACTCACTCTGTAGACCAGGCTGGCCTCGAACTCACAGAGATCTGCCTGCCTCTGCCTCCCGAGTGCTGGGATTAAAGGCGTGCGCCACCAACGCCCGGCCCTCCTGTACAGTTTTGTCCACAGGGTGTTCAGTGTCCTTAGGGTGTTGGTGCAGGCAGTCCCTGGGGCCTTTGTCTGTTACAGTGCTGCTGCACCAGGGAAAGAGGGGCTGCCTGGCCTGCCTGTGAACTGCTGCTAGTTTTTCTCCTCAACATTCATCTCCTATGTCGGGCAATGGTGGTGCACGTCTTTAATCCCAGCACTCGGGAGGCAGAGGCTGGTGGATCTCTGAGTTTGAAGCCAGCCTGGTCTACAGAGAGAGTTCCAGGACAGCCTCCAAAACAATACAGAGAAACCCTGTCTGGAAAAACCAAACAAACAAATAAAAAATATTCATCTCCTAGAATACTCCTGTGTGTTCCCTTAGTACTATTGACATCTTGACCTGCCTGTTACTTGCTGCTGTTTGCTATTGATTTTTTTGTTAGTGGAGCAGACTTCTACTGTTATAGAATTTGGAGCTAACTACTTTTTGGAACAGTGTGTGAACTCTTTTGCTATTTTTACAGCTTTTCTATAGAAGTCTAAATTAAAATTAAAAATTTGAAAGTAGAAGTTCTGCTGTATTTTTATTTTAGGGGTGACATTGTCAACCTGGTGCTTGAGCTCTGTTGAGGTCCTAAAATATGCCCCAATTATTTGTCTCTATAGGAAGCTTTCCTTCTAGCAGAAGAAGAGATTCCATTGGATGAAGTGACAAAACAGACTGAAGGAACAGGAACCAGCATCCCACAGAAGACACAGAATGTTCCCAATGAGAGAGAACTGTACATTCCATCTGTGGACCTTCTGACTGCCCAGGTAAACAGTCTGCACTTTGAGGGACAAGGGGGAGAAAGGAAGTGAGCACTGAGGAAAGAGTCCTCACCTAGTTATTGAGAAGGTGGCATGGCCATGGGTGGTTCTGGGAAGTTAAAGATGGGAAGCTTGATCAGTCAGTTTGATGGAGTATTTAATGGGAGTGAGATTGTCTGTGGAGCAAGTTTCTAAACTGTTTCCTCATGAGTTGGAAGCTCAGGCTTGTGCATCCCCACAACTTCCCTCTAGTGACCTCTTCATAGTCACCTGCTTCATTTGCCTACCCACTGTTTCCTCTCCTCCTGGCCAACTAGACATTTGAGAATACCAGTTCCCATTGAACTCTTCTTAGTTTCACTTGATTGAAGAGGGGCATGGATTTGAACAGAATTGGATTCAGACGATGTGCAGAAGGGCTGGGGTCCAGCTGTGCAGAACATGGCTCTCACTTGCACTGCAGACACCTTTATTTGGCCATCTCCTTTTCTAGGACCTGTTGTCCTTTGAGCTGCTGGATATAAACATTGTCCAGGAATTGGAGAGAGTGCCCCACAACACCCCTGTTGGTAAGCATGTCTTGGCTCATCTTGTTCAGGTACTGGTGTTATCGTCTGGAGCACTGGAGGGTGAGGAGTGCTCCCATGTGATAGTGAAGCTACACCCATGCTCCATCTCCTCCTTTCCCTGTGTCTGTCAGTGCCACAGTACAAGTGTGTGCAGGACTTGATTGCTGTAAAGGAGCCTTCTTCACTTTTCTTCCTTTGTGCCTTTACTCGTGGTTTTATACCTTGGCTTTGACCTGCTAAGCCATTTACTTGTTTGTGATCCAGTATTGATTGGTCAGAGCTGGGTTGCATTTCTGGTGAAGTTCTTTATGACAGGTGGTGGAGCATATTTGGGTTTATTTTAACCCCATAGGAAGCAAGAAGCCTACAAACTGCTGCTTCTGAACACTTGACTGTTTATGATGTCATGCTTTTTCTCAGTTGATGGTTTTCCTGTCTTCATTCTCCAGATATGACTCCCTGCATGTCTCCTCTGCCACATGACAATCCTTTAATAGAGAAGCCAGGCTTGGGGCAGATACAGGAAGAGAGTGAAGGGGCGGGATTTAAAGCACTTCCTGGTAAGGGGTTAAATGTCTGTAAAGCACTTGTACCTTCCCTTCCCATTCCATACCTATTTTCATATACCCATTCCTCATTAACTTTACCTCAGCATGCAAATTGGTGTCCTGTAGCATCTCTCGCTGTCTTTCTAAGTCTTCCCTCATGACAGCAAGAGCAGCTATTCATACCTCAGCTAGGTTTAATATGCAGTGACTGGTGAAAGCTCTCCACTCTTTTTAACAGTAAGTACAAATCAGCTTTGTGTTTCTTTCAGATTCCACCGTACCAACAAAGAGGAAGGCTGAGGCCACTGCTTCAGTGGAAGAAACGGAGGAAGATCTGAGTGGGACCCAGTTTGTATGTGAGACTGTAATCCGATCCCTTACCTTGGATGCTGCTCCAGACCACAACCCACCCTGTAGACAGAGGTCCCCACAGAGTGAGTGTCCCACCAGCTAGCAAGGTGGCCCCTGAATAGCAAGGGGTGTTCTTCCTTGCTGAGAGGGGAGGGAGACTGATTTTTAGCTTTGACTATGCTGGCATTCTTAATAAAGCCCGAGGAACAAAGAAGCCACCCTAATTCATGTCTGCGCTTCTCAGGGGAATTGCAGCTGCAGTCCACAGAGGAGCAGCCGCCAGTTGCACTGCCTGAATTCTGCAGAAAAGATTCTTCCTGTAAGTTGACAGCTCCTCAGCAGATGTTCCCATTGGTAACTGAATTATCTGTTTTCTCCCATGGGCAGCAATCTGAAAATTTGGGATGTCGGCCGGGTGTTGGTGGCACACACCTTTAATCCCAGCACTAGGGAGGAGGAGGAAGGCAGATGTCTGTGAGTTCGAGACCAGCCTGGTCTACAGAGCGAGTTCCAGGACAGCCTCCAAAGCCACAGAGAAACCCTGTCTCGAGAGAGAAAAAAAGGGTGGGGAGGATGACAAGAGTACCAAACTGCTTCCCAGGGTTAAATAAAAAATCAAAATAAACAAAACCACCTTCATGGGTTCTGGCGGTGACAATTGAGGTTAGCTCAATCCCTGGCACCCACCTACAAAACACTGGTGCTGTGGCAGACCTTATCACCAAAAATAAGGCAGATGGACAGGCATTTTTAGCACATGTGTTTAATCCCAGTACTCAAGGTGCAGATGTAGACACTGTCTCAAAAAAAAAAAAAAAAGAAGGGGAAATGGCTTCTGGGAACTACACTCAGTGTTAACTGTTAGAGTTTTCTTTCCTGCCAGGTTCCACAGTTGCCTCAGCCCCAAATGAATGCACACAGAGACTTACATTATTAAACTATTGGCTGATGGCTAGGGCTTCTTATTGGCTAGCTCTGTCTTAATTATTAACCCATTTCTATTAATCTATGTGTTTCTACATGGTCTTATCTTACCAGAGAACACCTAGTGTGTCCTATCTTTCCTGTCTCACATGGGGTATGTCTCTGCCTACCTTTCCCAGAATTCTCCTTGTCTCCTAGCCCTGCCTACCTTCCTGCCTCTCCTAGCCAAACAGTGTTTTTTTGTTTTTTGGTTTTTTTTGTTGTTTGTTTTGTTTTGTTGGTTTTTCGAGACAGGGTGTCTCTGTGGTTTTGGAGGCTGCTCTGGAACTTGCTCTGTAGACCAGGCTGGCCTCAGAACTTGTAGAGATCTACCTGCCTCTGCCTCCCGAATGCTCGGATTAAAGGCGTTCGCCACCAATGCCTGGTGCCAAACAGTGTTTTATTCATCAACCAATAAAAAAAACATATAGAAGGATATCACCCATCAGTTGACCTCTTATGTCTCAAAAACTATCCAAAAATTCAGTTTCTGGTGCATGATAATACCAATTTTGCAAGCTTAGGGAATGGCTCAGTGGATAGGAGTCCTTGCTATGTAAGCAAGAGAACCAGAATTTGAGTCCTTAGTACTCACCTAAAAGCCAAGCACAGCCCTGTCAGCCTGTAACCCCAGTGTCAGGGAACTGAGACAGGCAGATCCTGGATCTCATAGCCAGCCAGCCTAAACAAAATGCTGAGTGAAAGGTCCTGTCTGTAAGGTGGAAAGCAATAAAGGAAGACACTTGATGTCCTCCTCTGACCTACACACAAACACATTCACGGGTGTAATCAGCATACGCCATACATAAAGAAAATTGACCTATATATTCTTTTAAACATAATTGTCCTATTTTTGCTTAAAATGAAAACACACACACACGAATTTTTTTTACACATAGATACAAATACCAGAATGGTGTGGAAAGATAAACCAAATTGTTCATAGTATTACTCTGATAGGATCTTGGGGCACCTTTCTACTCACCCCGTGATTTTCCAGTGTTCTCTTCTTACTGTGCATCACTTTCTAAGGCACAGGAAAGCAAGCATACAACCTGGAGGGCTTACATGTGACACCTTTCATAGCTCTGATAGCTAGCTTACCAGTTGTTATAAAGCTTTATTCCCGTCTGTTAACTGTCATAATGAAGAGGAAAGGGGACTGTAAGACTCACAGTGCTCATAGTAAGCCTGGCTGTTTGTGCCCACGTGCCTGAGTGTTGATTTCCACTCTGTCTGCTTGGCATGCGTGCTATTGAAGCAGAGTGCACTTATGCCTCCAGCAGCAGCCCATCCATTCCTCTGGTTTTTCCACTGTGGCTTTTCTGCTAGCTCACGACCCACAAGGCTTTGCCGAGTGAGTACAACATTAAGGTTTGCTGCTAAGCCTTTCCTTCACAGCGGTTACTTTTGTCCTTAGTGAAATTTGCCTTGCCTGAAGAAGGACCACTTGGAGATGAAAGGGAAGAGATTGTCCACATTGCTGAGGAAGAGGAACTCCAAGATGAAGTTCAGAGTCAGTCTTCTGCTTCCTCTGAAGATTATATCATCATCCTGCCTGAGTGCTTTGATACCAGCCGCCCCCTGGGGGACTCCATGTATAGCTCTGCACTCTCACAGCCAGGCCTGGAGCGAGGGGCTGAAGGCGAATCTGGGATCGAGGCTGGGCAGGAGCCAACGGAGCCTGAAGAGAGACTCCCTGAAGGGGAGAGCCAGCCACAGGAACAGAGCATCAGTGACATCCTTACAACCTCACAAACTCTGGACACAGTGCCCCTAGTCCCCGAGGTGGTGGGACTTCCACCACCACTGTCCAGGTACTGCACAGTCCCCCTTAGCTGTCCTATCCAGAGGTGAAATAACTTAATCTCCAAACTTAAATGAATAAAAGTCATATCCATATTTCTCAGCATTTGTGAATTTGGGATTTAAACAAATGTTTTAGTTGACCTTTCATGAGCATATGTGTTTATTTTCTATAATTAAGAGAAAGATCTTTAAGCACAGACATTTCTGGATCTTCCCTTCATGTTTTGATTTTTGGGTTGAATGAAGATGACAAGAAAAATTACATGAGGGCTTGGGTTCAACAGAAAAACCTTTATCCTCCATGTACTAACACACACCAAAAAAAGGACAATTAGGGAATTATATAAATTCCTTATGGATATATACCCAGAAAGTATTTAAGTCTCCATAGATCTTGGCCATTGGTCTTAGTATAGAAACTGTGGGAACCCTGACCATTTTTTAAAACACTCAACAAACTAAATTGTCCAACTATTAGCACAACCTGATGTGGGGGAAGTGACCTGAGTGAAACCAGTTTTTCTAGCTGGATTGTGGTTTAAAAAGGAAGCAAGAATAGAATGCAACCCTTCTGAGCAGATCCCCAAACTCACGTGATGGGGGTCAGGAATGTGAAGCCTGCAGAGAATCTGGCCCTGCTGCACTGTTTACTGATTTCCTACCACTGCTGTGGCTGATTTTCAACTTACCTCCAATATTGTGTCTTTCTAAAGGAGCTCCCTCTGTGTACAGCACGGGTCCCCAGGAGTGGATTCACCAGTTACCACCCGAGACTTTCTTTCAGTCCCTGATCAAATCAGAGGAGGTAATGACAAGTTTGATCTTCACCTCCCTTCCTTTCCTTCTTTCCACTGGAAACCAGATATTAACAGGCTATCCATTTTTGTGACTCATGGTCTTGTTTTCCCTCCTTCATGCTCTGTTTCTGCTCTCCTAAGTACATATGAACACAGCCTAGGTGCCAGCTCCACTTTTGCCTTTACTCACCTGACTGATGCAGCAACTCAGCTAGTGTATGATGCTCATGGTTCTGTCCACTTACTTGAACAGTGAGGACAGTAGCACTGTGAAGTAGTAAGTATGTCCTCACAGTCACTTCTTCCTAAAAGTGCCAAACCTAAAACCATTGAGAACCAACATATCAGTGTAATAGGATTGTAGAAGGTTTTTTTTTTATTCAAAGACACCTTGTATAGCATATCTAGACAGTTTGTCTTTCTCAGCTACTTAAACCACCCACAAAACTTTCTGAAACTGGAAAGACTTCAGACACTGCATCTAACCAACAGTTCTTTTGCTTTTAGAACCCAGAGGCTCATCAGGACTTGTAAACAGCAGACAGAGGAGCTGTGACCACTCAAGGTAATGACCTTGTGAAGTCTCTTGAGAAGCAGGTGGACATCCCAGCGCTGCTTCTGCTCAAATGAGCCTCTCAGTGTGTGCCTCTTCAGAGCACAGGAGGAGAGTCCTCATTCCTTCTTGTTCTTACCTATAAAGCTTTTGCTCAGCACTGGACAGAGAGCTGAAGAAGACAGCTGAGGCTCGTATTTAGGCATTTTCACATTCCAGACAAGAAAGGCCTGCTCTAAATTCACTGGACCTGTAGTGCCCAAGAAGACAGGAGGATCAAGCCCCATGTGCATTTTGGCCATTTTTTCCTTAGATACAGCCGCCTTTCTGGTTCCTGTTATCTCAGATCAGTCAGTATCCAGAAAGATCATATTTGCTTTGCCAGGTGTTTTCTCTGAGATGTGCAGACAGATTGCTGATACCTATGTGTGCCCATGACCACATTTTCAGCTGGGATGGAGAGCTGGTGTGCTAACAGGGTGTGTGTTTCCTGAGCCCAGCACTGCATCAGACCAAGATTTATAGCTCTGTAAACAGTTCATTTTCTCCTTTTACATCTAATCTTTTTCTCTCTTAAGGATACCTTAGATTAACACCCACATTATCTTGTAAGGTTATGATTTTATTTGGGGAGATAATTTGGTTTTCCTCTATAGGCACCACAATGGGAGCAGCATTGCTGGAGGACTGGTGAAGGGGGCTTTGTCTGTTGCTGCCTCTGCGTACAAGGCCCTATTTTCTGGGCCACCAGTCACTGCACAGGTCAGTGTGTGGTTTCTTTTCCTTAACTTCAGCCCCTAAGTGATCAGTACAAATGGCAGTGTCTTTCTGTCTGGACTGGCAATTAACATGTCATGGACTATAGACTTAGTCTTTGATGAACACATGGCCCTGCCTTTTCCTGTCTTTTTAATCAAGTTACTCTGGGAAGAAAAGGAAAAGAACCTAAGATTTGTTGAAGACCTGCTACGTGTACAGAGTTAGACGAACAGGTGCTACTGGATGCCTAAGGCACACATTGCTGTCAGACATGCACTTTGGCAGAGCATGCACCTTTCCAGGACAGGGTAGCATACTGTGCCAGTGCAGTCCAGCAGATGGGGCATCTCCACCCACTGGGACAGAGGTTTCCTGGAAGTCAGTATCTCAACTGAGACCTAAGGAAAAAGCTAATGCTCCCCCAGGAAAGTTTTTGTTTTTAAGATTTGTTTATTTAATACATATACAGTATTTGGTCTGCATGTATGCCCTCACACTCCATAAGAGGGCACCAGATCTCATTATAGATGTTTGTGAGCCACCATGTGATTGCTGAGAATTGCACTCAGGACTTCTGGAAGAAGAGCCAGTGCTCTTAACCCCTGAGCCATCTCTCCAGCTGGAAATGTTTTAAATTTGGAAGTGGTAGCTCTCACCTGGAATCCCAGCTACTGAGAAAGCAGAAAGATTCTAAGTTCAAAGCCAGCCTGGGCTACAGAGAGAAACCTTTTCTCAAAATTTTAAAAGGGATACAGATGTAGTTTAGTAATGATAGAACTCTTGCTTCGCACCCTGGGTTCAGTCCCAGGTCTTGCCCTCTTTGAAAAATAAAATAGAATAGCCAGCTATCAAGAGCTGGAAGTGAGTGGGTGGTGACTCAGATCTGGAGAGAAGAGTAAGGAGAGAAAAGGTGAGCTGTAAGTTCTGGTTTTTATTTTAAGGCATAGATAGTTACATTTTTGTAACTGGAAAAGACTGTAGACCAAGCTGTCCTTGAACTCAGAGATGCACCTGCCTCTGAGCACTGGAACTTAAAGCACTTGGCACCACACCCCAGGGACAGATTTTAAGGGTGTGATTCGATGTGATTACGTTTGTTCTTAGTAAGGTCGCTCTTGTGCAGTACAGAGGTATAGAATTAGTAAAGAAATCCATATGAAAATCCACATATAGGTGGAAATTAAGGGTATAAAAAATAACATAAAAGAGAAATGTCAAGACTTGTCAGTGATTAAATGCTTAAAAAGAGGTCAAGGGTAAATCTCAAGCTCAGGTACTCAGGAGTGCCATGCAGTAAGTACAAGGAGAAAAGGCCAGTAGTTCACTCAGTGAGTAAAGGTGCTTGCTGCCAAGCTTGAAAATTTAGTTCCAATCCCTGGGACCTAATGATGAAAGGAGAGAACCGACTCTCATGAGTTGTCCTCTGATGTCCACATGAGCACACACAAACACAATGCAATACAGAATAACCCCTGCCTCAATGAAAAAGCTTATTGTTTGGGTAGGAATATATCTAGTGGGTTTTGCTTAGTGTTGAATTTGCAGCTTATCCAGGTTAAAAGTATAGCCACCCAGCATGCAATTGGGTGTATGCATCTGCACCGCAGAGAAGAAATGTGACCTGAAGCTGAAGTGTGACAGTCATTTGCATACAGGTTCTAGCTGGCAGGAACTATGTGCTTTGGATGGGATTATCCATGAAAAAAATGTGGAAGGCAGAAACAGCCTCTAAGAATCAAAGCAACAGAACTCTACAAAAACAAAACTTAGCTGGGCAGTGGTAGCACACACCTTTGATCCCAGGAGGCAGAGGCAAGCAGATCTCTATGAGTTCAAGGCCAGCCTGGTCTAAAGAGTGAGTTACAGGACAGCCAGAACTGTTTCACAGAGAAACACTGTCTCAAAAAACTTAGAAGCAGGGCCACTTGGGATTTGGGGAGGTTCATAAGGGGACAGTAGGCCGTGCTAAATGCTACAGAGAGCTGCGACCCAGTAGTGAGGAATTTGACAGTTCAAGGCTACGTTGGAGAAGTAAAATAAACACTAGCCCACATAAGGCAGAAGGAAGTGTTTATAAGAGAGACTTTGGGTTGGCATTCCTAACTATGAACAATGTTATCAATACAGATGAGAGAAAAGGGTTGAGATAACCTTGCTCGGCCAGATTGAGGGGGGAGGGGTTGGTGCAGCCTCAAATTGGTATCCCAGAGATTCCCGGAGGAAGGCCTTACCTCTCTTGAGGAGTGGATGGGAGGAGGTGGGGAAAGGGGGGGGGGGGTTGACTGTGGTTGGAATATAAAATGAAAAATTTTTAGCCTTTTTTTTCTTTAAATTTAACTTTTTTATTGATGTTTTTTTTTACATTCCAGTTCCAGTTCCCCCTCCCTACTCTCCTCCGCTCCCCCCACTTTCCCCCACCCCACTTTCCATCTGTTCCTCAGAGAGAAGAAAAAAAACTTTAAGTAAAAAAAAAGTATTCCAGACTGTGGTAGCACATGCCTTTAATCCCAGCACTTGGGAGGCAGAGGCTCCAGACCAGCCTAGTCTATGCAGCTAGTTCTAGGATGGCCAGGGTTACACAGAGAAACGCTGTTTTGAAAAGAACAAACAAAAAAAAAAAACACATCATTCAAAAAAAAAGAAGAAGAAAAGATTTAAAGTATAAGTAGATTAAGCCTGTCAAGGATGATTGATAGACTGTTACAAAATAAGCAGAGAGAGGGACTAGGGTTTATGGCTCAGGCAAAGCATATGTCTAGCATATGTCAGACAGAGGCAATGTCTCTGAGTTGAAGGACAGCCTGGTCTACATAGTGAGTTCCAGGATAACCAGGGCTATATAAAGAGGGGGAGGACTGAGATTTCCGTAAATGGGTGTTAGCTTCCTCTTAATGAGATCACTTCTATTTTGAGGGTAAAAAGACTGCCTGAGATATAATTTCACAATTCTATATCCATCTTGTATAGCTGGTAAAGTTTCATATCCCATACCAGCTTCATTGTCGTTTTTGCTTGTATTTTCCTCACTATTATTTTTATGTTCACAAATCTTCAAGCCTTCATCTTGCAATTCAGTTTTTACTTGGCTGAAGAATGGGTGACTTTTGTTTGTTTGGGGCTTTAGAGATAAAGGCTCACTCTTCATGATCATCCTCCAAACTGGAATCAGGTGTGAGCCTCCATGCCTAAGCATGCTGCTTTCAGAGAGTCCTCTGAAACATACCCCTACTCTGTCACCATCTCCTTCAGCTTCAGCTGTGCTCATGCTTAGCCAGAGCACTCTTGACCCATTGGCTAAGTCAGGAAAGACTGGGGTGACAGTATTAATAAAGATTTGCAAGATAAACCGTTAAATTATACAGAAAATGTCTACTTCGTGTCTTTGCACAGCCCATTGTTTCTGAAGATCAGACAGCAGCCCTGATGGCCCATCTCTTTGAAATGGGATTCTGCGACAGGCAGCTGAACCTCAGGCTGCTGAGAAAACACAATTACAATATCCTGCAGGCTGTGACAGAACTCCTTCACATCAACAACAACGACTGGTACAGCCACCGCTACTGAGGACTGACCTTGTATTAAATAACTGCCTGCTGCTCAGAGATGATCTCTATTCTGTCATTGAGGTGTGGGTAGAAGCCCTCACTTGTTTTTTAATCTGATGAATCTATATCGAACGTCACTGAATTGTCAAAACAGTATCTGTTACAGTATTTTTGGAGCAAATCAAAGACCAGAACTTAAATTCTCATTTTTGAAATGGGATGAGTGGTAGGAAGACAGTTCTCAGCTGATGTGGACAGAACTCCCTGCACTGCAGTGTGTGGAGGTCCTGGAGACTGCTTTCCTTTTGCTTGTACTGAAGTTGAGTCTTTTCCTTTGTTCATGTGGTTGTTTTTAATGGGCTGTTAAATATTAGATTGTTTTTTGTTTATTAACCTTGAACATTTTCAAGACTTATTCTTCTAATTTCTGTAACCAACTCCAAGCTTCATAGCTACATGACCTTAAAGGACAGCAGATCAAGAAAGCCATTTCCCTGTAAGACTTAGTAAATGAGTAACTCTCTGCTTTCAGAAGAGTTGAGGGTCCACCTGGCAGGTGCCTCGAGGGACAAAAGGGCAGGGCATTGGAGTTAGCCCACCAGCACCCATTGAGCAGTGTTTGTGGAAGTTTTACTTAGAAAAAATCCTAAGTAGTGTGAACTATTTCACTAATCTCATAGAGAAGGGGAAAACTCGCCTGTTACATAAAGGGAAGATAAATTTAAGTCATCTTTTGTGACTGTCAGATATGTGCAAATATTCATCTTGGTAAGGTTGGGGTGTAACGAGGGGGACAAGAAAATGCTGGTGACATCTAAATGTTAGTAATCCTCTTCTGAGGTGTCCTGCCCTAGAGTTGAGAACAGGAAGTAGTGGGTGGGGGCTAACCCGCCAAAAGGTTAGTTTAACTCTTGGATAAATGGGAAGAAGCTTGCTTCTAGAATTCTAAGTCTCATTTAGTTTATCAAATGGAACTATGGGTACGGGTGGTGAAAGAAGAGGTAACAAAACACTAAAGAATTTTGCTCATGATAAAAGAGTTTCAAAGAAGGAATCTGGACCCTAGCTCAAAGGGTAAAGATAGTTTAAAAGGTATTATTTAACTTCGCTGGTATTTATAATAAGTGGCGATTTTAATTACTCATAATCTGTTTATTTACAGTCTAATTCTTGAATGCTTCTAAATAAATCACAATTCAAACTGCAAGCCGACCAGGCTGTTTATTATTTAAAACTTTTTCGTGGGGTTTGGGGTAGAAGCAGAGCCTCATGGTGTGGGTAATGAGGTGGATTTGGAGTCGGACCTGCTTTGACCATCTGGAACCAGTCGTTCGTTCCATTGTACTTGTAAATAGCCACTTAAAGAATTGGGAATAAATGTTCTTTGAAACGCTTACTGGACTAGTTGGTCCTTGCAGCATTTGTCCTCCCATGACACTCCCGGAGCCGGAAGCGTCTTCCGGGGGCGGGGCCAGGGGGCGGGGCCATGTCTGGCTTGGACTCCAAGCTTGTGATAAACTCACGGCTCCCGCAGTTTCGATTATGCTGAGGGCGTCGTCACTTTGGGGTAAGGCACTCCCGGGACCCCCCATCCCCATCCCTCTCCTTTACAAAGCAAGAGCCCAGAGACGTTTGGTTTCTCAGCGCCCAACGCACAGTGCCCAAATTCGATTAACGGCCAGTGTTGTGGGATTTAAAATCCTTCCTCAATGAAGTCCCATCTTTTCCTTCCTTGCTCACCTGATGGTCCTTGACGGAGGCCCCCAGTAGAGAGGGAAGCTTAGATCCTGGAAGCCAGTGATTCCGGCTCCGCACTTGGCGCACATTCTCTCTCCCAGGTTTCCGGTGAAGGGAGCTGATCGCCCCTCTCTGGGGGCCACCCCAACCCACCCTAGAAGCCCTTCGTCCCAGAGGAGCATTCCAGAAAACCCAATCTTGCAGCTGAGAAAAGCCTGGAATCATAGACCTAAACCAGGTGAGTATGGTGTCATCATTTTATCCCAGGGAGATCTTGAGTGTGTCTTAACAGGCTACTTCAGCCACTACTCGGGGCTTTTGGGGAAAGTTCAGACTTAGCCTTGACCTTTCCTAGTGAAGAACAGACTCAAGTGTGACTGTTCCCCAGAAAGCAGTGAAGGACAAATTTAGGCTCCCTCCCAGTCCCGTTTCAAACGGCTTCTTAGCCCCAGCTCTGTTCTCTCGCATAAGAAGCCCTGATTTTGTTAATAGCCAAACTCCAGACTAGAAGCCTCCCTTCTACCCACCCACAAGCTGACTCCAGGCATTTCTGCCCTAGTGCTATTGGCTTCTAAAGAGTAATCACTTGATGAGGGAGGACAAAGGGACCCTGCGACTGATGTGCTCCCTGCTCCCAGTCCTATCCAGCTTCCCTTTCTTTGAAATAAGTGATAGTTCAGCTTTTCCAGAAAAAAATACTCTACATTCACTTATTGAAGTCCCTTAAAGTGAAATAACTTCTGCTTTTCTTTGGTTTTGAGCTTTCATTAGAAAAAAAAAAAAAAAAAACCCAAGTCACTGCCCAAAACTCTCCTCTAAGCTAAAACTTGCTTAGATAATGGTAGGACTTCTTGCCAATCTCGAAAACTTAATACTAGAATTATATCTGACATCAATGCTTACAGGCTAATAGCACTGAACCTTCTTTTATTTCTCATTAGTGAAAAATCCTGCTGAGCTATGGGCAAGGCATTCTCCCAGGTAACCTCTCAACAGGATGAGGACAAGTCAATCCTACCTGCCAACAAGCCTGCCAACTACTTGAGCACCGGCAGCAACAAGCCACCGTGCTCCGGTGTGCTTTATGCAAGGGCTGCTGGTGCTGGCTTTGTGATTTGTCCTACCTGCCAAGGCAATGGGGAGATCCCCCGAGGTGAGTAGACCAGGACTCTGGAAAGACCCTAGAAACCAGCGAGAGATCCAGACCGGTCCCTGTGCAACTCCTGGAGTAGGTGGCCAGGCCAGTTCATGCTCTCTTAGAAATAGTTCTGTTCCCTGGAGGAAAGTCTGCTTCTCAAGCAATGCTGTGTCTTCGGATTTGGGGAGCTAAAAATGACCTCTCCAAAGGAATAGGGCCCCTCTGACTTGCTAGTGACCCAGTGTTTCTTCATACCTGGTAATGAAGATCACACTCCTTTTCTAGTTGAAAGCTGAGCTGCCAACTTCACCCCCGTGTTCTCAATCCTGCTGTGGGATAGAGGCAACAAGCTCTGGCCCTGCTAGATGGGATGGAGGGATGCGGGGGGAGGCTAGCGTGGGAAATATTGGTCACGGACACTTTAGCATTCTCTCTCACCCTCTTTCCTTCTGCAGAGCAAGAGAAGCAGCTGGTCGCCCTCATCCCTTATGGAGACCAAAGGCTGAAGCCCAGACACACGTGAGTGTCATACATCCCTATGAGCAGCCTCGCCTACTCCTCTGTTTTCTCCCCACCCCATTGGTTTTCATCCAGAAAGTCTGAGTCTTACTGGGATTAAACTTGTACAGCCTTTGAATTTCTAAGGCTTGTCCTTAAGAATGATAGTGTCAGCCGGGCGGTGGTGGCGCACGCCTTTAATCCCAGCACTCGGGAGGCAGAGGCAGGCGGATCTCTGTCAGTTCGAGGCTGGGCTGGACCGACAGCCTCCAAAACAATACAGAGAAACCCTGTCTCGTAAAAACCAAAAAACAAAAACAAAAAAAAAACAAAACAAACAAACAAAAAGAATGATAGTGTCAGCAGCTGGGATTGTAACTCACTGATAGTGTGTTTGCTTGGCTAGCATGCATGAGATGCTGGGTTTGATCTCTAGCAAAAAAAGGGGGGGTGGATAAATGTCATATAGTAGTTTTTCTACTGACCCTGGATTCACAATATAGACAACATATATTGGATTGGAATATCATACCCCATAAAAATGAACACTTACAAGTCAGTCATAATAGAACAGCAACAAAAAAGGGCCACATAGATCATAGTGGATATCAGCTGAGGCCATCATGGCTGTGGCAAACCTTCCAGGAGGGAACAAGTTGCCCTGGTTGCAGCTGCCTTTGCTATAGCAGTTTAGATCTTGTGCTCTTCCCAGTAGAGATAGAAAACCAGCTGCTCAGATCTTATTCTTGGACAGTTCAGGACATCAGAAGCAGCTGGTTTCAGTGCAGTGCCCATGACCCTGTATGTGATCACATCTGTTTGACATGGGTCCCTGCAACCTCCTCCAAAAACCCTCAGTTTCTACCTGAGAGCTGTTGCCCAACCTCCCCAGCCACTGTATTAAACCATCCCAGGAGATGGTTCAGCGGGTAGAGGTGTGGGTGGGGCTCAGCCTGATGACCTGAGTTCAAACTCCAGAACCACAATGTAGAAGCAAAGTAATTCCCACAAGTTGCCCTCTGGCCTCCATGCACATGATATAGCGCACACAAAATAAATAAATGTAATAAAACTAGAAACAAGCAGTGTCCCTCATAACATACTAGGTTCTTTCTCTTTCATTCATATCTCAGATTGAATTATGTGGGTAGGTAGCATCCTGTTCTAAGTACTGAGTTTAATTAAATATTAAAATTCAGAACTCTCAAGGAGTCACATAGACTGGTTTCTAGCAGTGATAGCATTCATTGAGGTCTTGCTGTCTTGCCAGGAACTGTGATTTTGTTTTTCTGCTCTTGACTCAGGAAATTCTATGAAATAAATCTAATTATCTCCACTTTATAGACATACTGGGCTTTTGAAGAGGTTAAATAGTACCGCTCAGCATTATTGGGTCAGTGGGGACAGAGATATGGGAATGGAAGCCTTGTTGACTGCCTTCCAATACTATGCTAAACCACAGCTAGACAGCTAAATACAGTTGCCAGACTGTGCGCAAGAGGAAGCCACCTGTCTGGAGGGGGCAGTCTGAACCCCCTCCTCATGTCTCCTTGGTGTTCAGATTTCTCTCTTCCATCCTGGGACCTGTTCTCACACAGGAAGCTCTCCGTGTTCCTAGCCGTGATCATCTGCCTGTTAGCCTTCACCCTCACCGTCTTTTTCCTGTATCCACGATCCATTGCCGTGTATCCGATAGGCCTCAACTCCTCCATGGTGACCTTTGATGAGACTCATATACGACTCAACATGACGGTAGGTGGTAGGAGCTCCCAATTTCACCCCTGCCTTCTCCAGAACACGCCCATCTTCCTTGTAGCCTAAGATGCAGGTTCCACGGATCTTGTGGTCTACAGAAGGATGCTGTAGTAGATTACGTGTGATTGGGGCTCTCCATAGCGAAGGGTTACAATCTGGACCAGGTCAGTCATAGGGTGGAATAGAGATACCAGGACAGAATGGAAAGAAATGGGCAGGATAAAACTAGATCCTCAACTAGCAAACTCAGTTGATTGCTGGGTTTTCACTGTGTTGCCCCAGTTGGTCTTGAATTCTTGGGCTCCAGAGTAACTGGGACTGTGGGGTGTGTCGTGGAATATTATTTTTAAGATGTATTATATTTGTTTATGCTGTGCAACATTTGTTTTAATGATACAAAGATGTGGCCGGGCGTTGGTGGCGCACGCCTTTAATCCCAGCAATTGGGAGGTAGAGGCAGGCGGATCTCTGTGAGTTCGAGGCCAGCCTGGTCTACAGAGCTAGTTACACAGAGAAACCCTGTCTCAAGGGAAAGGGGGGAAGAAAAGATCTGAATAGGGTGGCAGGAGAAAGGACAGGTGCAGCTGGCAGGCAGAGAGAATAAAAATGAGGAGAAATCTGGGAAGAAAAGATTGAGGAGCAAGAAGGAGGAAGAGGAGGACATCAGGGGACAGCAACACAGCAAGCCTTTGAGTAAGAAGAAAGGTTTATAGAATAAAGATAAAAGCCTAGAGACAAAAGATAGATGAGATAATTTAAGGTAAGAAAAGCTGGCTAGAAATAAGCCAAGCTAAGGGCTGGCATTCGTAAAAGTAAGCCTCTGTGATTTATTTGGGAGTTGGGTGGCCGAACCCCCAAAATAGCCAAAGAGTAAAAACAACAGAGATCCACCATAAGACCCAGCTCACTGTCAACCCTCAAAGGTGACCTTTGCCATCAAGAGCCTGCAGAGTCACTAATACTAGCTAGCCCTTTGTACCCGAGCCCCAACAGGGTAGTATGGGACTCAGGCCAAAGAGCCAGGCTTCTACAGGTGTTTGTGTTCTCGCTCTGGAAGAAGGGCTAGCCTCACCGGCCTTGCCTTGCCTTCCTCTCCAGAATATCCTGACCATTGCCAACAGCAACTTCTATCCCATCACCGTGACACAGCTGACTGCAGAGGTTCTCCACCAGACCTCTGTGGTAGGCCAGGTTACCAGCAGCCTCTGCCTGCACATCGGTCCTTTGGCTAGCGAACAGGTAGCTTCCCTCTTCCTGACCAGCCCTGCCCACAGCTGTGTGGATGGATGCAGAAGTGGGAAGGGGAAGCCTGGGGTACGGCTAACCTGCTCCTTTGGTTGACAGATGCCTTACAAAGTTGCCAGCAGTATTTTGGATGAAAACACATAGTAAGTGCCCTCTGATCTCTTCTCTCCTACCTTCTTCCTTAGCTGAAAAGCCCAGTTAAGATTCACTAGATTCTTTTTGTTTTTCATGACAGGGTTTCTCTGTGTAGCCCTGGCCCGTCCTAGAACTCTCTTTATAGACCAGGTTGGCCTTGAACTCACAGAGATCCACCTGCCTCTGCCTCTCCAGTGCTAGGATTAAAGGCGTGACCCACCAATACCTGGCAACTAAATATATTTTTAAATTTTAAAAATATCGCCAGGTGGTGGTGGCACCCACTTTTTTTTGTTTTGTTTTGTTTTGTTTTGTTTTCGAGACAGGGTTTCTCTGTGGCTTTGGAGGCTGTCCTGGCTTGGTAGTCCAGGCTGGTCTCGAACTCACAGAGATCCGCCTGCCTCTGCCTCCCGAGTGCTGGGATTAAAGGCGTGCGCCACCAATGCCCGGCTGGCACCCACTTTTAATCCCAAAAAAATCCTCTGTTTCCTAATTGCTTCAGACTCATGAGCCTGTATTTGGCCTGCCCCCTTGTGGCTGGGACCACAATATGCCAGGGTAAAAGTCCAGAGCCTCTTCCTGTTGCACCTAGATTAGAATAACAGGTTGAATTTTGTTCATCTTTTTTGTGAATTGGACTCTTAGAATCTCTGTGGAAGAATGGTATCCACTTTTGTGCTGAGGGGAGAGGTCAGCATGTGCCTGGGCCAAGAATGTAGGTGGGCAGGTGGCCAGGCTCATTTTAGAGGATAAGACATCTTGAGAGAGGCATCTTGGAGGCCCTGGATGGGAGGCAAGCAAACTGTGTGAGCTGTGACTTGTAACAGGAAACTCTGAGTTCCCTGACCATCTATAAACAAGACTCACTGCTCTCTCTCTCTCTCTCTCTCTCTCTCTCTCTCTCTCTCTCTCTCTCTCTCTCTCTCTCTCTCTCTCAGCAAAATCTGTGCACAGCTGAAAGTCAAAGTCCACCATATCCTTTTGCATATCCAGTAAGTACGGTGCGGAGCTCCTGTGTGCCCACTCCCGCTTCAATCTCGCGTCAGCTGTGTCTCTTGAGGTAGAGAAAGGGTCATGGTAGCTCACATAGGAGTTTTGTTAGCTCCGGAGAATAGCAAGACTAAGGCCTGTTGCAGATCTTACCTTGCTTAGAGGCCCTGTCTGGAGCTTCCAGAGCCCAGTTGTGGCAGCTGACCCAGTGTCCTGGCAGAGCAGAGAGCAGAAGGAAGTGAGAGGGAGGTCCTGGGGAGCCAGCCTCACACACACACACACACACACACACACACACACACACACACACACACAGGAGAGCCAGACGAGAGTGTTCTGTCCTCTCCAGGGTTACTCTGCTTCCTCTCCAGGGGTTCTCTTACCTGCTCCTACCTGAGCCATCCACAGCAGCTGCCCTTTGAGAGCTTTGAATATGTGGACTGCAGGGAAAACATGTCAGTGCCCCTCCTGGAGATTGCTCGCCCAGCCTGACCTATCTGCAGCCCCTGTACTCCAGACCCCAGCAGGCTGGTCTACATCCCAACTCCATGGAGCTCAAGGAAGGATTAGTGACTTCACTGAAGAAAACAGAAGTATCTGGTTTTATTGTGCCTTCCCCTGACACCCTCAGCCAAAGGAACTTCTTTAGCAATGCTATGGGCACCAACTCCTCAGGTGTCCGGGAGTCACTTCTGATGGGTCTTCCATGGTGTTGAGAAACATCTGACCTGGCATTGTCTTGGGGCTGAACATGTTGCTTCCCTGGCTCTACCAGGGTGGGTCTTCAGTTGGAATGGAGAGAAAGCTGTAATTTTATCTAGATTTTTTTTAACAGCACAGATGGATCCTTTTCATGTTCTCACAGTAGCAAGTGGCTTTGAGGACATCCAGTGCTGACTCCAAGGTCTTTTTAGGTGACTGTAAATGTTCTCTTGTGCTGTCTGCTTTGGGCATGTGATAGTGATGGTGATGGCCACTTCTCTCAGCCTGCAGACTACACCATCTCACCCTCTTCTCTGTAGAACATGTTACCTTCATAGCAGAAGCTAAGTAGCTGAGGAGAAGCCCTCTGGTCCACCCTAGACCAAAGGCTGAGTCAAAAGTATTAAAGGAAATTTTCTAAGCCCAGGTGGACACAGGGAGGTCAGACAGTAGAGTAGGCCCAGCGACTGTTGAGAAAGCCTGAAGACAGGAAGCTGTTGCTGCCAGGGCAAAGCTGTGGGGCTCCCATGGGTCCTCTGCGTCAGGCCCGCCCTCTGTTCCCAAGGCCTCTGCTGTCCTCTGGGCCTTGAATGAAGAGTAACAGATTCACCGGAACTGGACTGTATCTTTCCTTGTCTGTCACTGCACTGGAACCAAACCCCAGGTGACTCCCAGTTTCTCACCAGACTCCAAATAAAAGTGTATTGCCAGAGAGCAGGGATGTTTGTTTGCTAAAGCTAACTACCCTCTTTCTGGTAGGGGTTACCTTTCTGTGCATATGTTTCTCTTATTGGTTTATGAATAAAACACTGTTGGGCCAATGGCCAATGAGGCAGGAAGATGGGCAGGACTAGGAGAGGAGAAGTCAGGGAAAGGTAGGCAGGAGAGCCCACCAGAACAGTTGCAATGTAGCAGGCAAAGGAATTGCAGGTCTGGCACTCTGGTAAGCCGAGACCACGTGGAAATACATAGATTAGTAGTTACAGGCTAGTAATTAAGACAGAGCTAGCCAATAAGAAGCCCTAGTCACCGGCCAACAGTTCATAATTAATATAGTGTCTGTGTGTTCATTTGGGACTGACAAGCGGCTGTGGGACCAGGCTGGTGGGAAACAGTGCTGGTAATATTTTTCCTTCAGATATGTCACTGTGGTGGGGAAAACTGACGAAGTAAGATGAATTCAAGAACATCCATGGATGGATGGATGTAACAGAACTGTGTACTCTTAGCTGGGGCTAAGAGAGAGAGAAAGTGTATCGTTTCCTTCCTGGGTAGGCAGGGTTAAGGTGTAACAACAGAACACAGACACCCAGGGAGGTCACACTGAGATTGTGGTGTATAAACCACCAAAAGTGAAAGATTTTTACCAATAAACTCTAGCAGTGTTGAAGGAAAAAAGAGGGTTCTGGGCAGAAGTGTGAGGATACTGGTGTATACTCCACACCTCACAAACCATTTCTTTTTGTGTATGCATGCATGTGGTGGTCAGAGCACAACCTTGAGCATCCTCTTGGGTACTACCGTTTTTTTTTTTGTTTTGTTTTGTTTTTTGTTTGTTTGTTTTTCAAGACAGGGTTTCTCTATTGTTTTGGAGCCTGTCCTGGAACTTGCTCAGTAGACCAGGCTGGCCTTGAACTCACAGAGATCTGCCTGCCTCCCGAGTGCTGGTATTAAAGGCACGTCCAGCCTATGTTTTTTTTTTTTTCTGTGTTTTATTTTGAGACAGGGTCTTACTGTGGAGACCTGACTGTCCTGGAACTCACTGTGTAGACCAAGCTGGCCTCAAACTCACAGATGAACCTGCCTCCACCTCCCCAAGGGCTAGAATTAAAGGTGTGTACCACCATGACAGGCACTATTCTTTTTTGGTTTTTCAACATGGTTTCTCTTTGTAGCCCTGGCTGTCCTGGAACTTATTCTGTAGACCAGGTTGGGCTCAAACTCATGGAGATCTGCTTGCCTCTGCCGGGTGCTGGGATTAAAAGTGCACACCACCGCTGCCCAGCTGCCAAGCACTATCCTTAAAAAAAAAAATCAAGTTCCAGGGATCTGTCTCTGCCTCCCCAGCACCGGGATTACAAACTTGTGCCAGCATGCCCAGCTTTTCTTACATGGGCTCTGAGGATTAAACTAAGGCCTTTGTACTTGTAAGATGAGAGAACTTCACCAACTGTGCCGCCTCCCCAGGCTTCAGACTCTTGTGTTCTGATAGGCATGTAGGCTTCCAAGACCTTCTGAAACATGTTCCGCTTCTCTGACTTCTGAGAGATTATCCCTGGAGGTTTGTACTTTTCTTCCATTGTGTATTCCTAAACTATCTTTGAACTTTGAATGTACCTGCTCCAAGCCAGCCCCATACTGTCCCAGCTGTCCCAGTCAGGGATCATCCCTAGACTACGGTAAGACAGGGCTTCTGACCCCAAAGGGAATGCTCTGACCCCAAAGGGAATGCTCCCTGGACTAATGTGAAATGAGCCCTTGGTCCCCAGTGGGACTGACATGACTAAGGGAGGCTTTCTCAGCGCTGGAGCAGAAAGGACTTAATAGGAATTGTGTTTTCCGGGAGGCTGATATTGAGGGTCCCCAGTCCTGCCTCCTCTTCCAGTTTGGGCTGGTAAAGAAGGGACACATGGGGGGGCTGGAGAGATGGCTCAGTGGTCAAGAACACTGACTGCTTTTCCTGGAGGTCCTGAGTTCAATTCCCAGCACCCACATAGTGGCTCATAGCCACCTCTAGTGAGGTCTGGTGCCCTTTCCTGGCATAAAGGCATACATGCAGACAGAGTGCTCATGTGCATAAAATAAATAAACAAATCTTTAAAAAAAAAGGGACACATGGAATGAGTTTTGGGGGTCTGCTGAGTGGAAAGTATGACACCCAGAAAGTTAGAGGCCTGAAGACTTCAGCAGGCAAGCTCCTTGCCCCTTTCCAAGGTCGCATGTCCTGATTCCAGTGCTACAGCACCCTTTTCTTCTGAATTCTCTCATTCCCCATCACCTTCTAACAGCTCAATACCTAGTGCGGGTCCTGAATTGTATACGGCTTAGACATCCCTACCTGCCCCGCCACTGCTCAGCTGTAGTGCATCGAAACCCCTCCCTTCCCAGGCTGTATCTCTAAGCCATGGGCTTGATTCCGGTGATGTCATTAATAAGCTGCTGGGCTGTCATCAAGGGATAAGGAACAGTGGTAATAGTTACAGGAGGTGCATCCTTGGGGTGGGGGTGGGGCTCAAGGCCATGTTCTCCTTTGGCTTGGGCTCCAGCAGGACGGACTCTTGCCTTCCACTCTCCTCATCCCCACCTCCAGTCGTGGGCCCTCCTGCCCTCCTGCCTCATCCCGCGCTCATTAGGCTGCCAGCCTCCTGGTTCTTTCCAGAAATCACATTTTAATCCCAGCTAGCCTCCTCTCCAAATGTGGCTGGCCTTTTGGAGTAGAAAGGTTGCAGGGTGGAAAGAAAGTGTGGTTGCTGTCTGGTTTTTGTTGTTTACGCTTTTTGGTTGCTTTTGTTTTTGCTTTGTGGTATCATCGGGTCTTGGAGTCCCATCTCTGGATCACCACTGCTGGACGTAATTAGTCGACTAAAAAAGGGGGGAGACAGGAAGCAAAACCAGTTAGTTGTCTCTGGGTGTACTGCTTTCAGAATATTGTGTTAAGCCTCTGAGACCAGAGCACTCGAAGTGAGATAAAACAGCTACTGCTCCTCATCTGCACAGGTGACCTACCCCTCAATGCCTGTACCCTACTCCTGCCATTTATACTCTGATTAGGAATTACCAGCTGGTAGTCTGACTTGGTGGCTTAAACCTGTAATCTCCACTACTTGGGAAGTCGAAGTGGAAACATCACAAGTTCAAGGCTTGGCTGGGATACAGAGGGACTTTAAAGTGTGCCTGGGAAACTTAACAAGATCCTGTCTCAAAAAAAAAAAAAAAAAAGAGCCGGGCATTGGTGGCACACAACTTTAATCCCAGCACTCGGGAGGCAGAGGCAGGTGGATCTCTGTGAGTTCAAGGCCATCCTGATCTACAAATCGAGTTCCAGGACAGCCTCCAAAACAATACAGAGAAACCCTGTCTCAAAAAATAAAAAATAAAAAGTGCATGCTGATCTTGCAGGGGATTAAAGTTCTGTTCCCAGCACCCACAGCAGCTCATAACCACCTGTAACTCCAGCTCCAGGGATCCATTGCTGTCTTCTTTGGTCCTTAGACATCCACACATGTGAAATACACATAAGTAACCCCCCCCCTTTAAGTTAAAAAAAATGAAAGGAAGGTGGAATAGAGCAGAGTGGAGTAAAGTAGTTAGGGGCGGACCACTTAACTAGCATGCACAAGGCCCTAGGTCAATCCCTGGTACCCCCAAAATAATTTCATAACAAAACCCAGAAGTGACTTTGGAATGGTTCCAGTTCTCTCCCTGGCCCCCAGCTAAGAAATCCTCCTTAGCTGCCACAGACACACAAGGACGTGCACTCAGCCAGAGCCCCTTTGCCTCTCACCGTGAGTCGGGAATATTTAGAAGAGCTAGACTGGCATGCTTTCGTGAGACCTGATAAGACAAAGCACAAGTTACCAAGGAGGCTGGGGGCGGGAGCAGGCTTTTCCTGGGGCAGGATACAGACTGAATCTACAGGGATGAAGAATCCCCTCGAGGAAGCTACTCCGTGATTCCCTGTTCCACACTTTACAGGGCTCTGTTTTATCTGCTGATAGCCTACAATTCACACTATACCCTCCGACCGTCCCCACCTTCTCTGTTACACCCTAGAAAAGAGGCCATTGCCTTCCCAGTCACTCTATCCAGAAGCCTCTTTGCTGCCCTAGGTTGGGCAAACCATCCGGGAGGGGGACGAGGGAAAAGGAGGAGACTACTTAGGCTGTTAAAGGCTACAGGTGATGGGGAGGGTCAGACAGGACAAGGACCGATAGAACTTCTGAACTCTGGGGGGCTGGGTGGGTGCAAGGGGCTTCTCTCACCACCTCCTCTCCCAGGTGGCACACTCACCGTGACCTGGAAGGATTGGGGGTCCATCGCAAGGTTTACAGGGTTGCTGCCCATCTTGTTGGGCCCCTGCTGGTCTAGGCTGGGGTCCTTGCCTTTGGGTATCCTTCTGGAGACTGTCCTTGAAGGTGCTCTGTGTGGGAGGGTCTTGCTCCTTTGGTGGCTTTGGCCCAGGTGGTGGCTGTGGGTTTGCCTGCTCCTGTGGCTGTGCAGGTGGTAGCTGCTGCTTTGCTGGAGGCCCTTTTGAATCCTGGGGTGGCTGAGATTTTTTCTCAGAGTGCTGTTTCTTCTCTTCCTGTTTTTTTACTTCCTAGCAAAAAAACCCCGGCAAGTGACATCCTCTGTCCTCACACAGTCACTTATCTGCAAGACAAACTCTGGGGCAGTGGCATATGGAAGGGGGAAGTGCAGACTGCCCAAGTGTCTCAGTCCCCTGGACTTAGAGGCTGAACCTGAGGCCTAGGCTGTCTCCCTTCCCTGTACTCAAGAAGAGGCAGGTAGATCTCAATAATTTAAGTTCAGTCTGATCTACATAGTCAAAGTACACAAGTTCTGCCAAAGATGCTTAGAAATTTTCCTAACGTGTAAATTGAATATTCTAAATTTATACACAAATTAAACTCATAAACTTCAGCTTATTCTCACTAGCTACACTGCAAGGGTTCAGTGGCACACAGGTTGGTGGCTCCAATATCAGACAGCACAGTATTCAGGCCACGTACGTACATGCAGTACTCTCAGCTAGTCACTAGCAGACTGAGGTGGAAGGATCTTTTGAGCCCAGACGTTCACAGTTAACCAGGGCAACAGAGTGAGGCCTCATCTCCTCAAATATCCTTTCCCTAATGCTCACCTCCACCAGCCTACAACAGGAAAACTGAGCTAGCTTGCCTCCTACCCCAGCTCACAGATGACTTCCTGAGGAGTCTGTCATCCTGGCCCATTCCCCAGTGCCCCATGGAGGACCCTGATGGGCCACACCCCTCTTCTGCACCTGTTCTTGTTGCTGCTGGGCTATCAGCGCCTTCCTCCTTTCCAAAGCCATCTGCCGACGCCGAGCCTCCCAGTGGTAGGCACTACCCATGATGATACGCGATAGAAAGCCCCGGCAGGGTGTGAGGGCAGAAAGAGCCCAAGACGATGTCACTGCACCCAAACTCCTCTGTTGCCTCCCACCCCAGCCACACTGCCTGTTACCTGGACCACCTCACAATGTGGCCACTGCCAGGGCAACTGGGCAGTCTCCTGAAGTGTTGGAGGTGGAGGTCGTTCTCCCCAAGGCTCATAGGGAGCGCCTGTAAGTCCTCCAGAGGGAGCACCTGTGAGTCCCCCAGGGTCCTGAAGAGGAAAGAGACAGTCCCTCAGTGTGGGGTTTCAGTGAACCCTGAAAGCAATTTGGCAATAAAACTTGTTCATTTTCCCCCAAGCGGTGGTGGCACATGCCTTTAATCCCAGCACTCAGGAGGCAGAGGCAGGCAGATCTCTGTGAGTTCGAGGCCAGCCTGGTCTAAAGCGAGTTCTAGGACAGGCTCCAAAACTACACAGAGGAATCCTGTCTTTGTTTTTATAATTTTTTAAAGTAGATTCAACGATCTACCCTTTTTTTTTTAAGATTTATTTATTTATTACATATACAGTGTTCTGCCAGAAGAGGGCACCAGATTGAATTGTAGATGGTTGTGAGCCACCATGTGGTTGCTGGGAATTGAACTCAGGACCTCTGGAAGAGCAGCCAGTGTTCTTACCCTCTGAGCCATCTCTCCAGCCCCCGAGGAATCCTGTCTTTGTAAAACAAACAACAACAACAACAAAAAACCTTGCTCATTTTTCTCTTATAGTGTCTCCTTCCAACCCTTGCTAAGAAGCTCCCTGACCCTCTGCTACCCTTCCCTCCTCACAAGCTGTCTGGAAATATCGTTCCCAAACTCTCCCCAACCTCTGCTCTCTTACTGTTCTTCCAGGAATCATTTGCATTGAGTCGATATGAAAGAAAATACACAACCCAACTGAGCTACACTGTGGAGGGAGGGGTGTGGGTGCGACGCAGCCCTTGGATCTGGGCTAGCCTGTTGATTCTGTCTATGTAGTGAGTGGGATGTGGTTGAGTTTTAGTGTCAGAGACAAGTTTAATCCTGACTGCATCACCTACTAAGCTGAGGGAATGTGGGCAGGCCACCCAGTGTCTCAGAGCCTACCCTGGTATGCTGGTATGCTCAGAAAACGGCTGCCTTCAGCTATGAAAAGTTGGAAGAACTGTCCCAACTCTGATATGGGACAGGAGGGGTGATTTGTCTTGCTAGATCTTTCTCCTTCAGTAAAGGGCGATGTTTCCTTCTCTCAGCACCCAGGGGAGTCATCTGCAGTGTTGGCTACTTCAAAACAATAGGATATAACAGATAAAAATAAGACTTATTATTGACCTTAAAAAAATTGGTACTAGCCGGGCGTTGGTGGCACATGCCTTTAATCCCAGCACTCAGGAGGCAGAGGTAGGCAGATCTCTGTGAGTTCGAGGCCAGCCTGGTCTACAAGAGCTAGTTCCAGGACAGCCTCCAAAGCAATACAGAGAAACCCTGTCTCGAAAAACAAAACCAAAACAAACTAACAAACAAGATAGATGTTCACTAAGTTACCAGACTGGTTTTGAACTTGAGACCCTCCAGCCTCAGTGTCCCAAGGAGTTGAATTACAAGTCTGTACCACTAAACCCAGCTTGGACATTGATCTTCACATCGTGCTTATCTTCGTATAAAGTGACTGTAAAAAAAAAAAAAAGGGGTCGTGATGGTTCCTGTGTATAGTCCCAGAATCCGAGGGGCTAAGGCAAAAGGAATGCTACAAATTCTAGGCCAGCCTGAGCTACAGGGCGAGATCCGTCTCAATATGAAATGGCAACGTTTTTATGGAAAATGGTAAGAAAGACAGGGAGGGCTCTTCCACATCTTACAGGGCAAGGCAGGAAGTGAGTGCCTTGCACTTCCTCTTCTCTCGCGTTCCTTTTTATCTGCCACTCCTCCCTGTAAGGAACAAATGCCTCAGGTTGAGAGACCTAAGATGGAGGAGGCAGAAGAGCGGGTCTGGCCGCCTGAATCCAGGGAAATGGTTTCCAAGTCTCTGAGTTAGGGTTATGTTGGAGGAAAAGCTCTCAGAGTGACTATCAAAAGTATCTTCGCTGGCGGTGGTGGCGCATGCCTTTAATCCCAGCACTCCGGAGGCAGAGGCAGGGCCAGCCTGGTCTACAGAGCTAGTTCCAGGATAGCTAGGGCTGTTCACAGAGAAATCCTGTCTCAAAAAAACCAGAAAACAAACAAACAAACAAGCAAGCAAGCAAACAAACAAACCCTCCGCCTTCGCATCTCTCCCATGGCCCCCGCCTTCCATATGTGCACTGCCTCGCCCAACTCAGGCTCTTGTCTCCTACTCCACCGCCCCTCCAGCTCTCACCATCCTATGTTAGCTCGTGCTGGCCCTCAGGAAACCTCCCGTTATGTCAGTGTAGAACCATTTAAACAATGCTTTTTGTCTCATAGAGATCGCCCCTTTCGATATAGCAGAGGATGACTTTGAACCCCAGTCCTCCTATACCACCACCTGAATGTCAGAATTACAAATGTGCACTGCTTTGCCTAACTGTTAGATACTTTTTTTTGTTTGTTTAGTTACCTATGTGTGATGGAACTATAGGTAATCTTGGAGTCAAAGGTCGTGGATCCCTAGAACTGAAATTACAGGTGTTTGAGAGCTGTCCTGTTGGTGCTGGGACTTAGGACCCTTAACCTCGGACCCATCTCTCTAGCCCCCAAAGTTTAGGGAGGTTAGGTTTTGTTTGTTTTGGTTTGATTTTTCGAGAGAGGCTTTCTCTATGTAGTCCTGGCTGTCCTGGAATTCCAACCTGTAGGGGCAGGAGGGGAACGCTTACACGGGGCCTGGGCCATGCTGCAGACCCTGCCTGTTGTAAATGTCTCGCAGCTTAAAATCCTTGTGGGACTGACATTAGCACTCAAAAGGGAACCAGAAGGCCCCCACCCTAGACTTGTAGCTTTCACAAACACGAACCCTGGTTGGACTCCTCTGTTCAGAGAACTAGAAACCCCACATTGGGACCCGTGGATTAATTGTGCCTATGCAGCTGGGACAGAAGGCAAGTGGGGGGGGGTCTGGCTGCCAAAGTCTTTAAAAGTTGTCAGAGCAATAAGCTGAGTTTATTGTGTTGTTTTGTTTTTTACACCATGATTTCACCTGTAGCCCAAATTGACCTAGAATACACTATGTGGGCTTGAATTCCAGGCGGTAGCTCTGCCTCAGCCTACCAAACTTTGGAGATTACAGCCTGAGCCACCATGACTTGTGGTGGCGCACGCCTTTAATCCCAGCACTCGGGAGACAGAGGCAGGCGCATCTCTGTGAGTTCGAGGCCAGCCTGGTCTACAGAGTGAGTTCCAGGACACCCTCCTAAGCCACAGAGAAACCTTGTCTCAAAAAAACCAAAAAAAAAAAAAAAAAAAAAAAAAACAAAAACGAAACACTCTATCCTCATAGCCTGAGGGAGAAAAAATCCATTTAACTGGATAACATATTTAAATGTGTTTCCAGCTAGTTTTGCACATGACAGAAAGTAAAATATCAAAGATGACTGAATTTGATTCATTTAATTTTTCAGGATCAAAAGTCTGTTTATTAAGAGCTGTTGACCGGGTGGCTGGAGAGATGGCTCAGTGGTTAAGAGCACTGACTGCTCTTTCAGAGGATCTGGGTTCAATTCCCAGCACCCTCATGACAGTTCACAGCTGTCTGTAACTCCAGTTCCAGAGGACCTGACACCTGTGGCAGAGCACCAATGCATATAAAATAAAAATTAATAAATTAAAAAAATCCACCCCCCCATAAAAAAAGAGCTGGTGACCATATAAGTGACTTGCAGAGACATAGTCAATATAAAGTGGATTCACATTTTCTTTCTGGAAAACATATTTCATACCTAGGAACAGCAGTTGCTTACTTCCCATTGAACCATTCTCTGTCACTGTATATATTAATTGGTTTACTTATTATGGTGTTTTTGTTTTGTCTAGTCTGGCCTCCCAATCCAGAGGAGGGGATAATCTTCAGACCTCCACAGGAACCAGACATGCACATCGCACACAGCAACACACACACAAATAAAACGGAAAAAGAAAGAAAAAAGCTCGGCGTTGGTGGCACACCTCTTTAATCCCAGCACTCAGGAGGCAGACAGAGGCAGGCAGATCTCTGTGAGTTCTAGGCCAGCCTGTTCTACAGAGCGAGTTCCAGGACAGCCTCCAAAACAATACAGAGAAAGCCTGTCTCAAAAAAACCAAATACATTTTTTTTGCCTGGCAATGGTGGTACACGTCTTTAAACCTTTAATTTCAGCGCTGGGGACGTAGAGTGAGTTTGAGACCAGCCTAGTCTACAAAGAGAGTTCGGGATAGCCAGAGCTGTAATACAGAGAAAACAAACAAACAAACCAAGAACCACCCACATGTTTAGGGGTTAGGGTGTAATTCAGTGATTACAGCTGTGTCTGGCATGCTTGAAAACCTAAGAGAGAGATCCTCAGCACAGAAGCACAGAGAAAACAAAACAAAACAACAGAAAACATTTTAAATAACTTTTCTATTTTAATTTCACATGCATTGGCGATTTCCCTGCATGTATGTTTGTATGAGGGTGTCGTATCCCCTGGAGTTACAGACAGCTGTGAGCCACTGTGTGGTGGCCGGGAATTGAACCCAGGTCGTCTCACAGTGCGCTTATAACCTTGTTTGCTCTTGAAGACAAGGCAGCCCTGCCCTGGCTGTCCTGTAACTCAGACAGCAACCCACCTGTGGCTCCCCAATGTTGGGATTAAAGGTGTAACAACCCCCCCCCCCACAACTCAAAGTTAAACATTAAAAACAATTTAATTTAAGCCACGCAGTAGTGTCACACACAGTACTCAGGAGGCAGGCGGAAGTGTACAGCTCCGGCCTATCAGGTGAGTTTCAGGACAGCCAGTTTTACAAACCCTGACTCAGAAAACCCAAATGATAATGAGCAAAAGTAATTTAGTATACTTAGTACCATTGCTGTGTTCCCATTAAAAGTTTAAGTCTGAGGAGACAAGAACAAGCAGAACTGCGAATTCCAAGTCAGGCCAGCG